AACAACAACAACAACAACAACAACAACAACAACAACAACAACAACAAATAACAACAACAACAACAACAACAACAACAACAACAACAACAACAACAACAACAACAACAACAACAACAACAACAACAACAACAACAACAACGACTACAAACAACAAACAACACCTCCCCCCTTCAAACAAAAACACCACGACAACGACAAACGACAACAAAGAAAAAACAACACAAAACCAGAAGAACACGCAAACAAACCAGACACACACACACACACAAACACAACAAATACGCCTGCCCAAACTTCTCCGCTTGCCTGGCCGCTGCCCAAAGTGCCACGCCACCAGGCCAGCATGGTGCTCACCTCAGACCCAGACCCAGACCGCCCGGGTGAGCCTCCGGGGGTCCCAGTTGCTATGGGAAATAACTGCTGTTACTATTGATACGGTGAATACTACATGATGTGATCCTATTCTTCTTCTTGATTCAGACTACTATATGATGTGTTCTCTTATTGGTACTTGTTTGTTTGATGGAATTACGATTTTTGTTGATACTATTGCTATATTAAGTGTTCTAATATCGTTCTTGTTCTTAGTGCTTGTTTTTGGTGTCAGCGACCCTAGGATGCCAGGACTGTTATTATACAAATTATATCATTGTATCATCTTACATTACTGTTTGCATCATTTAGTTCTAAGATACCAACTCAAAAAGACTCCATGAAGATCCGTGGCACCCTGGTTTCCCACACTACCGCAGGTGTTCCCCTCTACTCCGGAGATTCCCCACACCCCCAACCCCGCTGTGAAGAGAAACGAAAACTAAAACCGATGATCGGGCCCTAACTTTGAGATACGCCCACATAGTGTTGTTTCTTCTCCTGGCCTCGATTTTTCAAGCCTGTCAGGCTTGGGCCATTTGCTCTCGAGACCCAACTTTTCCAAAAGTCTCACGTGAGCACCCAAAGACCATTGGACATCTGGTTGAACTAGCACGTCATAAAGGCGTAAGCCTCTGGTCTGGCAATGTTTCGAGGCCTTCGTGAGACAAAACCACGATTTCAGGCCCCCGCCAGCAGTCCACCAAAAGCCGCTCGCTCGGCCCAGTTTTGCATCTCCCCGCTGTCCATGACCTCAAGGTGTTCAATGGCTGAGACTGAAAGAAACCGCTAAGGGACACGGGGGACGAATGCGGAAAAACATCATACTAAATTATCGTAGCTCCATACGGCTGTCTCTCATTCTTGTTCTTCTATTGTTGGTTTTCTCATTGTGCTCCCCCTGGCCCCTTTCAACCCACAAATTGGGCAGCCTCAACAAAAAGCCACATCCATATATCCCATTCATGTGATGGCCTCTGTCCATGACCTGCAAGCAACTTTCACCGATCCCAAAGAAACTACCCTTGCGGGTTTGATGGGGTAAGCCACGGGTATTACTTGTGTGCTGAACCCACATGGCCATGGGTCAAAAATCCAAATCGTACCCCCAGTGAACATCCCAATCCCCACTAAAATAGGTCCTAAAATGGGTGGTGAATTCACCTACTCTACCAAAATGGGATCCCAAAACGGTTTTGACAACCACAGCCACATGAAGTTTTTCCGTGAGTGACCTGCAATGGTGACATTTTGGCCAGTCCATGGCCGGGGCTGGAAACCTGGACTCGCAAGTCGCGAGTTGGGACCCATGGATACAAAACCAGTCGGGAAGCAAAGTGTTGTAAGCTGTTTGTCAGATTTAAGTACTTGATCCTGCTGTCTTTGTGGCTGTACTGGCTCGACCAACCACTTACGTTTCGGGGTTTAACAGAAAAGTTGAACTTTTAGTGGTTAAATGTTAAATGGACATCCCCACTAAACACTGAAATGCTCAAAAGCTAAGGGGACGGCGGGGAACCACCAAGCTAAGTTTGGTCATGCTCACCAATGTGCGTCAGATCGATGCAAGCGAGTTCGCGCGAACTGGAGCGTTGCCCAGCTGGGGTCACCGGCCCCAGGGGCGCCATGCGCCAAAGGATCGTCCACGGCGTGGACCGGCAAAGCACCCAGCGCCTCAGATCGGGCTGAACATTCCTTCAGGGGGATGGCCTGGACGTGCCATGTGCTTGGCTCAAATTTGGGGACCCTCAAAACTGGCAGTTTCCTGTTGACAAACATAGTTCATGTTGATAAGAGACACAGCCACATTGTCAACATGTCTCATGTAGGTCCAGGTCCACCAATTTAAGCGTCCAAGCGAGATCCACTTCAGAAACCATCAGTTTTGAATCACCTGAGCTACGGTGTCATTTTTAGGCCCGCCACACCACAAGTAAACGCGTCGTGCGACCAGGGCTCATTGTGGCTGTCTCAGATCTAGGGGACTCCCTAAATGGTTGATGCCCAAATGTAAAAAACAAAACAAAAATCACACAACCCCGCAACCCCCCATAACAAGGATACCCCTATCTCTCCCCTCTAACATCACCTCAAATGGACCAATCAGTGCTCAAGGCAAGCTGAACTTTCCGTATCTGCAAACACGGGTTCCACGTTTTCTTGTTCCCACACTTTGGAACCACGGTAATTAAACTGGTTGATTCATAGGGGGTGTCCCCTTTTTAGTGGGGGTTCATCACTTCTCGAGGGGAACCCCCGTATTAAGCAGCGGAGGTTTAATACTCCGGGCTCCAAATGCCTGGAACCGGAAAGCTTCCGAAACCAAGTGCTGGGGAAGCAGGCTTCATTCGGACGGAGCGCTAGCCCTCGCCTTTCGGTACCCTCCACCAAGGTCCTCTTCCGTTCCGTTTTCCTGCGTCTCATTCCTGTTGAGGGGGCGCACTTCCGTTGGACAGGGGGTGACGTGTCGACTGAAAACCACCCGATTTTCCCTTCGTGACTGGAACCTGTTTGTTGGAACCCGCGAAGCAGGCCCCGGAAAACCCAAAGGCGATCCGGCATCTCACATGGGTGTGACTCAAATTGAACAGCGCGGGTTAGGTAGCCAGCTTTTCCACCCCCAATTTGGAGCCACGCCCAAATTTCCGGGGGGTCGTTGCGGGTGGTGCTGTTTTCTCCTTCCACCCCTTTGACCAGGCAACGACATCACGGCGAACTCGGGATCCGCGCCGCGAGGGCCGCGGCGGCGCCAGTCACCTGCGGGATCGGGAGGGATAAGCTCAAAGGGTTAAGGGCGTCGAGGGAAAACGGGCGCAGCCGTACGCCAAGCGCCCTTCGATTGCTTTTGGGTTTGTTTTTGTTTCTTGTTCTTTGATAATAATGATAATAATAATAATAATAATAATAATAATAATAATAAATAATAATAATAGTAATTCGCCTCGGTTTAAGGGCGCTCAGATGTCTTCTCCAAAAGAGAATCCCCCCCCCACCCATGTCGGCTGGCCCAATTTCCTGTCCGGCGGGCCTTGAAATTTTCGGGGTTCGTCGGCGTCCAGCTCCATGGGTCCATTGTCGAAACAAAAATCGCTAAAAAAAATGTTTTTTTTGTCCTGAAAAGCATGACCTCCTGCTGGCCAGGCCTGTCTGAGGCCCAAGCTTGTCTGAAACAGGCCTAGCCCAACCAGCAACCCCCAGCAAGCCCAGCCAGCCTGCCCAGCCCAGGCCCCAGCGCATCTCAGAGCATGCCAGCCACTAGGCCGGCCCGCAGGCTCAGCCCAGCGTGCCAAGGTCAGGTTTGTCTAACATGTCTGAGACTGGCCTCAGGCCGCGCAGTGTGAGACAGGCCCAGCCCAGCCAGCAACTTGCCACCCAGCAACCAGGCGCAACCAGCAACCCACCCATGGCTTCGCAGCCTCGTGGCTGAGACTAGCTTCAGGCCCAGCCCAACCAGCAACCCACCTCAGCCCAGCCCAGCCCAGGCCCCGGCGCATCTCAGGGCATGCCGGCCGCCCACCAGCTCTCTCAGCAGGCCATGCCAAGGTCAGGTTTGTCCAACGTGTCTGAGACTGGCCTCAGGCCAACGACCAGTCTCACGCGTCTGAGACTGGTCTCAAGCTACGCCAGCTACTAAGCCTGTCTGACGTGCCCCAGCCCCTCAGTCCGGCTGCCCAAGCAGCTCAGCCCAGGCTGGCCAGGGCTTGGCCCGCCAAGTCATCCAGCCCCTTCCTGAGACTAGCCTCAGGCCCAGTCCCTCAACCCCGCCTGCTGGCGTGTCTTACGTGTCTGCGACTGGCCTCAGGCCCAGCCCAGTCAGGCCCAAGTGTGTATGAAACAGGCCTTGCCCATCCAGCAACCCGCCCAAGCACAGCTCGCCCAGCCCAAGTTCCAGGCGCAACCAGCAGCGTAGTCCGGCTGCCCGCTAGCCAGCAACCCACCCATGGCTTCGCAGCCCCGTGGCTGAGACAGCAGGCTCAGCCCAGCGTGCCAGGTCAGGTTTGTCTAACGTGTCTGAGACTGGCCTCAGGCCAACGACCAGTCTCACGTGTCTGAGACTGGTCTCAAGCTACGCCAGCTACTAAGCCTGTCTGACGTGCCCCAGCCCCTCACTGCCCAAGCAGCTCAGCCCAGGCTGGCCAGGCCTTGACCTCCTGCTCCAGCCAGCAACTCGCTACCCAGCCTCAGGCCCAAGTGTGCATGAGACAGGCCTTGCCCACCCAGCGACCCGCCCAAGCACAGTTCAGCCCAGCCTGCCCAGCCGAAGTTCCAGGCGCAACCAACAGCGTAGTCCGGCTGCCCAGCAGCCAGCAACTGAGACTAGCTTCAGGCCCAGCCCAACCAGCAACCCGCCTAAGCAAACCTCACCCAAGCCCACCAGACTCGCAGGCCTCAGCCTATCTAGCGCCGAGACTGGGCCTCACCAGCCTGGGCTCAACTAGCGTCTAGCCCAGCCAGTCCGCCTGCTGGCCAGGCCTCTGGCCTCAGGCCCAGCCCAGCCATAGCCCAGCCCCCTCAGTGCGGCTGCCCAGCCCGCCGTAAACTAGCTTCAGGCCCAGCTCAACCAACAACCCACGCAAGCAAGGACCAGCCAAGCTGCCCGAGACTGTCCGAGCAGGACGGCTTCCGAACATCGAACTAGCACAGGCGAACTGGTGCGGTCACAAGCTTTCAGTAGGATTCGGACCTTCCCAACACTGGATTTCGGTGTTCCTGACCCTTCCCTCAAACTAGGCTGGGCCGAGGCGGGCAACGCGAAGCGTTTACAATAATAATAATAATAATAATAATAATAATAATAATAATAATAATAATAATAATAATAATAATAATAATAATAATAATAATAATACTGATAATAATGATAATAATGATTATTATTATTATTATTATTATTATTATGATTATTAATTACTATTATTATTATTATTATTATTATTATTATTATTATTATTATCATTATTATTATTATTAATTTGGGGGAAACATATAATGATATGTCTTTAACAAAAAATGCGGAAGCAAGAAGTGGACCAAGCTGCACGGGTATTGTCATGGGCACACTCCCAAAGTCGTGCTGGCCTCGCAAGAGCGTGACACATACACATCAGATATCTTCCTTTCCAGGTAGGCAGTGAACGGCAAAGTTTTGCGGCCACAAACTGGCAGGACCAGTTGACCAAAGGGCTCTTGGGAGTGTCTCTAAAGAGCAGAACCTCCATGTTGAGTGTGTGGCTTTCCTTTACTTTCCCTCTAGAACAAACCCGAAAAGGGTATCTTCACAAAAAGGCAGCCCCCACTTGTCAAGCTATCTGTTGCCCACTGTTCCCACCTGCGCGCGGTCCGTGGCATGGCTCTTGCCTGCACTCACGAAGCTCGGATGCGGTCAAACTGGGTCTCCTTAAAATTGGGACCCCCAAAGCAATTGTTGGTTTAGCTCATAGAACAATGAGGGTCTTCAAAATGGCTGGCTTTCACTTTGGCTTCCTCCTGGCTTCTCGACCTTTCCCTTCAATCCCCAGCAAAACATAAAGGCGGGTCCCTTCTATGACACCCCCAAGAGTGGCACGTGCCTGGAGGAGGAACAAATGCCGGCCAGCAAAGGCTGCCAATGGCAAAGACCTTGCGGCGGGTTCAAGCCCCTTTGAAGCGATGCAAAAAGAAAACCTGACAACTTTTTCGGAGATCCTCCCGCTTTTGGCCACACCCATATCGAATCCCAAATGATTGGCTAATATTCTAAAACCTAGTTCTCGCAACAAACAAGCCAGTGCAGGACATACTGACCATGCGCATCAACGCATAGTGAACGTGCACCCCATGATTGTCCCGCCAATATTCTGATATTTAGCCAATGCGCCACTTGCTCGGTCATCAAGATAGTTCAGACCCGCTTAGTTCGCCCTCTAGCGGATTTTGTCTGAAGCGCGAGTTGGCTGCTTTACGCTAGCCACAAAACCAAAACTCATGCAGAACAACCAAAACGGCATGTTAGCAGGGCCAACCATTCTGTTCCTTCGATCAAGCCAACCTTTCAACTCTGAACCAAAGTGGTCACCCGATTCTAAGCGGCTGCCCCCCACAAGGCCCCGACCAGAACGGCCGGCAGCAAAACTGAGCGACGTCTCTGCGCAGGGACCTTGGTTGAAACCCTGTAGGGAGAGGGTTTTTCCCAGTTCCTGCGGCGAGCTGGTTTTCCAGCAACTTGCCAACATCCCGTTGATGGGAACATCACATCTTCAACTAGGTGCAATATAATACAGATTTTTCCCAATGCTTGCTGACAAGGTGTGAACACCATGCCAAACCCCACAATCGCCAGTCCGGGTTCTTTTCCCGACCTAGGATGGGCGAGAATCGCCCGAAGCTTTGACTATGGCAATGTACTGTGAGAACTGCGCAACTACCAACAGGTTGTTCCTTGTGGCCAACATCTCTTGGACATACATGCCCAAGCCTTAAGCAACTAAGCAACCCTGGAGCAACACTTGACCGGGTTGCTCGAAAGAGCCTGGCATAGGCGCAAACAACAACAGGAATCCAGCTTCCTACCCGTAAGTTTTGGTCATCTCAGGTTCGGAGCACTTGCACCCTAGCCCAATGGGCCAGACTTAGACCCCCAAAAAATTAGTTAACTGTTAGGCTGGTTAAAAGGGAAAATGAAGGACAACATCACAAGCAAAACGCTCCAACGGGCCAAGTCTGGCGGAAGCGGGCCCTTCGCTGAACCACTTTAGCCCGCAGCCATGCCGATGGCACCCTCCTGCAAGGCTTCCGTGCGGCTGAGGCACCCACCAGTGTCAAAAAAGGCACCCAAAATCGAATTTCTGGTAAATGGAAACAAACCCTGCAGCCCCCTGGTGGTTTAATTTTGACCCATACTCATGATGCTCCACAATAACTTGCTGGTTCTCACCAGGGAATGAGAAAATGACCCCCATCAACCGTCCCTTTTGGTTTCCTTTAAGGGAATCCCGAGGTTCATTCCCAAAACCTGAATCATTCCCTACTGAGCACCAGCAAAATATGGTTCATTGTCAACACGAGGAAGCCATGAGACTCCTGAGACCTCTACCCTCGCCTTGCCTAACCACGCGCTCGGATCCCTGCGTTGTTCTGCCCTGAAACGTGAGGATGTCCATGAACGACCCTCCCAGAATGCAATGTTGCCGGCTGCCCAACCCAAACCACTCCTATCCCAAATGGTCCGTATGGTTGCGTGTCCAAAACAAAATTGCTTTTGATGTGTCTCCCTTTAGACATCACCAAATAGAAACTCGCCACTTCATTGGCCGAACGGCGATGTTTCCCCAAAAAGGGGAACATCAGCTCACCTGGTTACCGAACGAAGGGCACCCATTCTTCAGGAATGTCGGCTCCTTAAAATCTCGCGGACTCCACGAGGCGAGACTCTTTGGGCCAAACCGCAAGGGCCGTGGTCCTTCAGTGGCCACAATGAATTTCAGCAGTGGGAACCCCAAAAGTGGGTGGACAATGGTGGACATCCCACTGATTGCATCTAAATGCTGTCCACTAGGGCCACTAGCAAATCTGCAGTGAAAGGTCGTATTGAGTATCAACTTCATGGGAAGCATGCTGAGTCAATAGGTCGTGCAAAAAGTTCGGCTGGACGTCGATGTTGCTGCTGCTGGTGGTAATAATTGCTTGGCGATTGCTTGTAAGTGGTCGGTGGTCGGCTGTCAGTTTCTTGCTTGGCTGGTCGGAGTGCCGGATCGTTGGTTGCGTGGTTGCTTGCTTGTGTATTTGGTTGCTTGCTTGGCTGCGGCTTAGCTTTTCTTTTGTTGGGTGGGTGGATGGGTGGGTGGGTGGGCGGGCGGGCGGGTGGGTGGGTGGGTTGAAGGACAAAGATTAAGACAACTTACAAGGATTGTCATCCTACTCTCAGCACATTGCATGCAGCAGTTGCCAGTCGTCTCATGCTGGTCTTCCAGACAGCCTCGCGATATCACCAGTAAAAAAACTCGTTTCAGCTCAGCCGGGGCAGTGACCCTTCCGGATCCAGAACTCCATGTTTGGTTTCCCACAAGGACTGTCTTCCAGGGCTCCTTCATTTGCAGAAAAAACAACATGCCCGTCGAGATCTAAACTCCGAATCTGTTGGCCATGGTTCCGGTTCCCTCAAGAGGAACCGTCGCGAGGGTTGTCTAAACTACCTTTCAGGGTTTGATGGCCATCTCTCCCAACCCCAAGCAAAGGAGGTATTTTGCACTTGCGATGTTTGGTACAAGGCTGCCACCATCTCCGTGTGCCTTGTTTTGCCTATGACCCGCATCGTCGCATCTTGCGACAGCTTCCCATAGCATCCGCAGAAACTCTGCAAAGCTGAGACGTCTACGCACACTCAGCGGAACCTCTTCACAAGATGTCAGCGCAGGGATTCCATTGTGGTGTCAGCCAGGTGTTCTCTTTCATGGATGAACATGTTCAAAATTCAGCTGTGCATCTTGAATTCGGCACCGACACTCTATAAGAGCCTACAGTTTTCAATGACATTTGTCAGGAAGCATTAACGTCAGAACAGGGCCCTTTTGACAAATCCTTCGGTTCAAACCAAGCCAAGCCCCACCCCAACTGAAGCACTCCTGTCATTTTGGCAGGGGCTGCTTCTTTTTCAGGCCCTCTGCAGGCAACGCGCGGTTTGGCAACGAACTGCAGCTCGGCCCGTGGTATGCTCTTGCCCACAGGACCTGGAAATAAAAAGGTTCACCTTTTGGAGTGTTGATTTAGCCACGGGCTGAACTAATATGGGTTCTAACTAGTGGCGAAAAGCACATGATGGTCCTTGGCAAGGTTGAACCCGCAACGGGCCCCATGGGAAATCTTCAAAAAATCAGGTCGCATACCAGCGAGTCCTACGGCTTATCTGCTTTCACTGCCTGATTGGGCAACAAAATGCACATGGCTCCTTTAAAACGCGTTGATTCCCTTGTGGCCTCCTCTGAAACACCGTGCAAGAAGGGGCACGTTGATTTTGGACGGCCCCACACAGAATCAATGCCACACTGGCCAAAGCCAAGAGGGAAGACCCAACATGGGTAGCTCCCATTGGCTCCCATTGCATTCCCTCGAAAACAACCCTCGAAAAAACAAAAAAACAACTGAAACACACGCACACACACACACACACACACACCAACATGGCACCAAACGTGACTATAGTCAATATGCGGCAACATCCCCTCGCCGTATCTGCCCGGGGGCTGCGTTTTCAGCTCGCACGGCCAAGTACTGCTCCAGCATGGGTGCCAGAAACACCAGCTGCTTGGCGGAAAGCTGGCCGGAGGTTTCCTGGAAGAAACCCAAAGACTGGGCGCAAGAAGCCTTGGGAAAGGGGGTCTTTGTGGATTGTGTGTGTAACTTGGCCCTGGCTCCGGCGACTTGGCGTCTGGAACATGTTCCTCTTCCCATGGCCAAGCGTCCACAATCTTGCAAGCGGCAAGCTGCGCACATCACCAAACATTCGACTTCTAATCTCTGCGTTCGAGGCTTACCTGGAGTCTCCATGACCCTTCGAAAATGGGGTGATTACCCAAAATAATGGGGTCATTGACCCATTGTTAAAGGGTCATGGAGACTCCAGGTAGGTCTCTTCATGTCCGTAAGTTTCAGGGGCTTCCTGAGTCGAACCAATCCCAACAAGCCATATTCAATTAAAGTTTGGCCGCCATCCCAAGCAAACAACTCAGCGAACATCCAAAATAAACCAACCCCACCCAAACATACCCAAACCAAACTCACCATTCTTGAATCCAACACTATTTTCAAACGTGCAAGCCAGGCCTCAAAGCAAAAAATGATGTTGATCTTGTGACATCCCTCCGCATGCCTATACCCTTTCGCTTGCAGGGAATTTCAGGGAGACGACTTTTGCTTTGAGGAACATCCCTGTTCAGTTCATGGTTGTTGGAAAGAGGGCAACACCTCAATCCCATTTGGGCAACTTTCTAGAAGTCTCAAGACGGACAAAAAAACAATCTCCAACTAATCATGGGCTGAATCGCTCGTCTTGCTGAATCCGAAAGCTCCTCACAGTTTCTCCAGATCCTATAAACCCGAACCTTCCTAAGAAAATTTAGCTATAACCCCTAATAGGGGACAATTGGTAAAGGAAGACATGATCAGCCTCTGCGGTCGGGGTCAAAACAGAGATTGTGACCCCAAAATCAGCTTGCCAGCCTGAAAGGGGTACCCTCAAACAACATGGCACCAAAATCAACATGGCACCAAAATGGGTGTCTCCCCCTTCTTGCGGATTGCTCTGAACTCGTATTGTGCGTTGTTGTTGTTGTTGTTGTTGTTGTTGTTGTTGTTGTTGTTGTTGTTGTTGTTGTTGTTGTTGTTGTTGTTGTTGTTGTTGTTGTTGTTGTTGTTGTTGTTGTTGTTGTTGTTGTTGTTGTTGTTGTTGTTGTTGTTGTTGTTGTTGTTGTTGTTGTTGTTGTTGTTGTTGTTGTTGTTGTTGTTGTTGTTGTTGTTGTTGTTGTTGTTGTTGTTGTTGTTGTTGTTGTTGTTGTTGTTGTTGTTGTTGTTGTTGTTGTTGTTGTTGTTGTTGTTGTTGTTGTTGTTGTTGTTGTTGTTGTTGTTGTTGTTGTTGTTGTTGTTGTTGTTGTTGTTGTTGTTGTTTGTTGTTGTTGTTGTTGTTGTTGTTGTTGTTGTTGTTGTTGTTGTTGTTGTTGTTGTTGTTGTTGTTGTTGTTGTTGTTGTTGTTGTTGTTGTTGTTGTTGTTGTTGTTGTTGTTGTTGTTGTTGTTGTTGTTGTTGTTGTTGTTGTTGTTGTTGTTGTTGTTGTTGTTGTTGTTGTTGTTGTTGTTGTTGTTGTTGTTGTTGTTGTTGTTGTTGTTGTTGTTGTTGTTGTTGTTGTTGTTGTTGTTGTTGTTGCTTTTGTTTTTTTTTGGGGGGGGAGTGGTCCAGGCTTACTTGCAGGAGGGTAGTCAAGGTTCTGGTGCGTCTCTCCGAAATATAAAACCTAACAACATCCCCATCCAACAAAATAATTCAGACACTTAAATAAGACGAATCGCCACCTGGTTCGCTTTGCCCTGGTTTTCTGGCAGACTTGGAACCATGGCTTTCCTCCATTTGCTCAAGTCCCCTGGAAAAAAACAAACAAACAATGTTTCTAGTAGTGATAGATTCCCTCTCAAACTAACTGTGGACAATGAAACATATTCTTAACCAAATAGAAGCTTTGGTGGTGGGTTACCACCAGGGCACAGCGAACTTCGTTCGTCCCAGGCCCGGCCGGCCTCCATGAGGCGAAAGGCCTGGCCTTTGGGCCCGTAAAACCCCAGGCGCTCCTGGCAGATGCTTCTGAAAGCCGGGGAATTGGGGGGGATTCTTGAGACACAAAGCATGGCATAGTTCCCTATGCCCTCCCTGGCTTACATGGCCATGCCAATTTCTGGCTGACCTTGTAAAAGGAAACCAAAGCAAAACCCAGCCATTTTGGGGCCCACCTCCCAACAAAAGACTCGCCTGGGGATTAAATGCAAGTGGGAACTGAAACCAGTGGAACAAACCCTGGCAAGGAATTTTAGACCTGAACAAAATTGGACATCAGATGTCAGGGAAATGGTCCTCTGCCGGATGGGAACAAACACCTAAGTGCCTTGCCCTTCATCAATCAGGCAGCCGGATTTGTGAAAAGCCCTGCAAGCGGCGTACAACTTCACTTGCCCTTGCAAAGTGGGATTTTGTGCTGATCGAGGCTCCCTGCACCAATCCCAGCCAGGGACCCTACCAGTCTTTGGGGACCCGGGGGTGGTCAAAACAGCCGCAGGTCATGGTTGCCACCATGGTCAAAACCCCGACGAAAGGCTGTATGAAGCCCTGAATGACCATTCCTGCCATCCCCAAATAACGGGATGTCGTGGACTGTGGCACATAAATTGTTCGAGGGATCGCTTGCCAAAAAACAGGGAGATGGCAGGTTCCAGCCGTCGTTCCTGACAAACGAGCGCTGTGTCAACATATGTAATCTGCCTTGAATGACTTCAAAGTCCAGGCTTTCTGCCACAGCAGGCCTCCGTAGGGGGGGGAATTCCTTGAAGTGTTTTTCAGGTGACCCACCTTTTGGAAAATGGATTCCACGTTCCTTTCCACTTATCAAAGGCCACCGTCCGTACACTTTCAACCCTTTCAGAGTGTAGCCACCTGGGCCTGCAGGAAACTTGAATCGACACAAGCATAGTACTCACATTGTATAACAGCATAACCAATACTATCGAAGTCTTTGCTCCTATAAAAAAAAACGAATTAAGTTGTATGTGTGTGGTCTAATATGAAAGAACACACCCACTTCTTTTGACCGCTCGCTCCGCTCCGCGGTCAAGCGGGTTCGGTCTCCTCCAGCGCCTGCTTCCACTCTTCTGGGGTGAGGGTGGCGTCCGATTCTCCGAGTTTGCTCCAGAGCTGGTCCTCAACTCACCCGGAAATCGGGGGGGGGGGGGCTGACGGCTGATGGGCCCGACATGCCGATTTCGAGAACACACCCGGCTGACTGGCTGCAATGGGCGATTCAACCAAGAGCGGCCTGGTTTCCAGGACCAAATTGCTGCCAGAACTGCTTCTTCTCGCTTGCTGCTGCTTGAACAAGATGTTCTTTCAAGCACAAGGTTATTGCAATTGCGCAGCAGAGCCGAGCTGGCCCAATGAGGCAACGAGTGATTGGCTGCAGCTGCGCGTCCAGTACGTCGGTCAGGTGAAAGCGCCGCGCCGCACAGCGGACCAGATCTTGGGCCTGCCAAGGCGCAAAAGAAGAAAACCAGCCCCGAACATCTGTGCCTCACCTACCCGCTCACTAGTTTTGCTGGTAAATCGGGCTCCGTAGCTCCCAAATCCAATATGACTTCAATCATTGGCTCCTGGGCTCCCACCTCATTGGCCAGTCGCCTGCTTCGAGACGTTCGCATCCCAGCGCTTCGGAGCAAACAACCGGACATCTGCATTCCAAGAGCCCCGGCCTGTTGACGAACCTCGCGCGCGAAATCCTCCAAAAGGGACCACTCCCTTCGAGATACTGCCTTCTGGCCGCAGGACAAGAACTGAAAGATGCCCTGGCCGTGGCTTTGGGGTCCCGCTTTGATGAGCGCCCAAAACCTATGTTGGTTCTCCAACATAGTTAAGGCAACATGAAATTAGCTAGAACCACCCATATAAATTGGGCAACCGAAATCGGGGTTTTGGGCACTCACTTGACCAGAGATCCGATGTTCTGTCGCAGCAATTTTCCTTGGCCTTCTGGTGAGTGTGGGATAGAACCACGGGACGGTCTTGGAACCAAACACTCAACTGGCCGACCTTCTTTTTGCAGGTGTTTTGGGAACCCGCCGCAACTGCCCGACTTTCTTCCGACAAAATCGGCGGGTGTTGGGACCGGGACTTTGGCCCTACTCCTCACTTTTGGAGTGGATTGGCAACCAAACAAATCTCATCTGTTGGCTTGCCACTAACATAGTCTTCCCAAACAGTAACAAGTCCACCAGCACCCGACTGCTTTCTGGACAGCACTTGGGCTTTTGGACATGGAGAAAAGCAGCCGTGGGTGCTGGCAGAAACTATCAGTTTAGCTTGATCGAGTGCAAAATGAGATCGAGACTGATTCACGAGAGAAACGGAATTGAACACCACCACCAACCCTCCAACCATTGCTTCTTCCCATGGTTCAAACCAACACCAATGGTCACCGACATGACTCTTGTAAGGACCTTTTCATCAACCCCCTCCAAAATCCCCAGGATCTTCTGATCAACCCAATGCTTAAAGGGGTGCAATTTTCAAAGACTCGCGCAACTAGCACAGCGAGAACATGTGGTGCCACATTACGATGTCTCAAGTGCTACCACCCCCTACCACCCCTCTACCACCCCCCCTACCACCCCCTACCCTCAAGTGATGGCAACCTTTACCTCCAAAATCCCCAGGACCCCTCCAAAATCGTCAGGACCTTTTGATCAACCCCCCGCCCCCAAAATCCGCCTGGCACCGTCTTTTCAAAGCCATTGCCGACCTTTCGCCCCCCGCCTCCGCGTCCTCGACGCCCCACTCCGCCAGCGCCGGCCCGAAGTCCGCGGAGGTCCAGGACGCCGCTCTCAGCGCCTCGAAGCCTCGATTCCGCAGGTAGAGCTGCACCACGTCCAGCCTCGAGACTCGAGACCGGGCTTTCTCCGTCCCCAAAAGACCTTGTTTTTTGTTGTAACTAATTTCAAAGTCACAAGTCATTGAATCCATTAATTGTGAGAATACAACAAGAGTGTAGTTCAACAGGTAGAATAGCGCATTCTGCAAGTTCAAGTCTTGTCGCCCTGGAGTAAATAAGTTAGAGTATAAATCAGTTTGCTTTCACCTGTTTGGGGTAAAAGTAAAAGCAACTTTACAAACAAATCACAATAATTTGCTGCGATAATGACATATTTTGCCGGTGAAAAGGGAAAACCAATGCAAAATCCCCAAGGGCAACCATTTCCCTTGAATCAGCAAGTTGAATTTGCGCTGGTTGAAAGGGAGGGAGAATCTCGGACACCCAAAAGGGAAGGTACCCTTGTTGGGCTTGGTTGGAAGGGAAGCAGAAAGGAAACCCTTGCCATTTGTTGGGGGCTCACCTACAAAAAAACACACCCAAATGGCGACACATCTTGCGAGTTACTTCAGTCATGCGGCAGCCCCTCCGGAGCATCGGAGCAGTCGGCCCACCAGCACCTCGGCTTTGCTTAAACGAAAATTCACCTGGCCACCTAGGTCTTAAAGGTCCTGGCTCCTTTTACTCCTGAGTAGATTGCAAAACAAAAGTCTCTCAACTTTTTGTTTAACACCCAAATGGTCTTCCCAGAATGTTTAATGTCCAGGAACTCAGGAAGTGAGTTTGTCAACGATGTAGTCACTAACTTGAAGGCACTCCCCAAGTTTGGGATCTAAGGCAGGCACACATTCTGCTTGCTGATGTGCCCCACTTTCCAGCCACCATATTGCCTGATTGAGGCCCCAATCTCACCCAGCCCGTGAGGCCCGCTGGTCTAGCGAATGGAGACTCTACCAAAGGTCATGCCTGTGAATTTTGATTGGGGGTGTCCCGTTTAAGGGCGAATCTAGATCACTTTTGTGGACAACACCTTGGTCCCAGTCCACATGGATTAGATCTCCTGCCAGATTGCTGCAGCAGTTGCTTGCGGACTGGCAGATTCCGCTCTTCGTGGACGCACACATACCTGGCGCAGTCAACTTGATGCCACCCCTCTTGATTTCTCTACTGCAGGTCAACTTCATGCATTGCTGGCACTAGTGACCGTGCAAAAGCAGCGCCGTCTCTTCACTACGTTGAGCCATGCTCCATTCAGCTTGGTCCGACAAGCGGACAGCTGTGGGCCCAAAACATGCAGGGATTCCTCTGCTGTCAAGCAGGCCGCCCCGCACACGTCCCTTCTTGGCTCGCGGCCAAAGGGGAAAAGCCCTCCAAGGATACGCTCCGCGCTCATTTCCGCGCCACTGTGGGCCCCACGTCAATGCTCAGGTCCACGTGAAACTCGTCACAAGGCCTCGGAAATCAAACCCCGCGAAACAAACAGCGCCGGGATCGACCCTTGGATAAGACCTGGGATGGCAGCAAAGCAATTGTCATGGCACCTCTTCGTTCAGGGAGCGAGATGATTGCACAAACGTACGAAGGGTTTGGGGGAACATGAGCTAAGGCGCTTGTAGTCCGAGCACCCTTCCCTCACAGAAGTCTTGCCCTTGGCATTGGCAATAAGGTCGCCCATATGATGGTTCACCAACCGATGGTCCGCCTCATCGGCTCTCACCTCAGCAAGCATCCAAATGAGGGTTGTTCAAAAGGGAAGTCTTCAATTGGCATCTTTTCGGACCTCCCTTTGCAACGGAAAAATAGCCGACACCAGGATCCAAATGTGGGACCACCTACTTGTGAATGACCCGAGATCCCCAAATCCCGAGCCAAGCCAGCCGTAGGATATCCGACACAAAGCACCAGAGTTGTAAAACGAGGCACCACAAGAATCACATCTCGCAGGGTGGCATCTTCTGGCATGTTCCAGTATTTGATGGCAATCTTTGGCGCCGCCACGTTCTTGATCTTGCCCTCATCCACCATTTTGAGCATCTCCGTGTATGTGTGCACAGCCTCCTCCTCCAAATATCCGACAAAGCGATGTGCGATCCGTGGCGTCAACACATAGAAGATCGTGTAGGCTGCGAAGAAGACGCCCTGGCCACACACAACCATGACTCGCTGATGCCACCTCTGTTGCGCAAGCTCCATAAATGTCATCAGGTGCATGCGCTCGTTCTCAGCCTCATCCATCACCGGCTTGATCCAGTTGCAGTGCACCATACGCCGCAAGGAACGCATGTGATGGACCATGCCCGCCACAAAGCCGGGCACTGCCGCAATGGTTTCAAGCATGCAAGCTCGATCCAAAAGACGCTCCTTGAAGTAGGCATCGCTGAGTCTTCGGAGGAACTTCACACTCCGGAGAGCAACTCGATCATGCCATGTCACAGGCACATAGTGAGGCTGTTCCATCCAGTTCTTGTCCAATGCCTCCAAGACCTCCCTGGATGTACGGTGGTAGCGAGTGGAATGGCGGTGGAACTCATGGTTGGGAGGCTGCTCCGGATTCAGCTTGAGGCCAAGCGGGGGTGGGTTCAGGTCGCTCGAGTGCCAACGTGCTGCACCGAGACGGAGACCGAGTGACAGGTGCGGGGCAATCGGGGCACGCGCACGCGCGACGATGGTCCTCAGTGCACATCCGGAGGCTCGCATAGTCGGGCAAATCATTCTCTGCGCGGCAATGTCTCTGTGTGGCTACAGATCCTACCTTGAGTCCTTGGCTGCAACACAATGAAACTTGCGGTCAAAACTATTGCATGCAAGGAGTGTGTTTAGTCCCCGCGTGGGATCCCTTGGATGTGCTTCTCATTCGAGGAGTTGAAGCACATCCTTGGCATTCGTAACGGATCTGAGGGATGAGTGTTGCTCGCGACCGACCTAGATGTTCATGGATTCAATTGAAGTTCAAAACGTCCTCCAACGGATTATACATTACAATGACACCTCACATAAATTTAATACATGCCCTAAAGCAATACTTTTTCAAACTACGTAAAGGAATGCCGCATGCCACAATAAGCTCGTCCGTTAAACGTGCAAATATTTGGCCATCGAATGGGTAAGTCGGTGAGTAAGTGAGTACGCGAATTAGTGGGTGCATGCGCAAGTGAGAGCGAGTGATCGAGTGAGTGAGTGGGCGAGTGAGTAGGTGGGGTGGGTGAGTGGGTGTGCGGGTCAGCGGGTGAGCGGGTGCGTGGGTGAGTGAGTGGGTAGGTAAATGAGTGGGTGGGTGGGTGGGTGGGTAAGTGCAGTTAGTGAGTGGAGTCAGTGGAGAGAGTGGAGTGAGTGGAGTGGGTGGAGTGGGAGGAGTGGGTGAGGTGAGGCGAGGCGAGACGAGGTGAGATGATTGAGGGTGAGATGAGTGAGAGACAGGTCGCATGTTGGACCCCTTTGGGCTGGGTTTCACGATGATTCCAGAATGAACGGTTCATGCACCAAACGAAGGGTTCATACCGTGCATAGGGCTTCATTCATTCAGCTCCTGCCGATCGAGGCCGAGACCTCGAGGCAAACCCATCCCTCGGAGAGAGCCTTCCGGAGATCACACCTCGCGTCGGCACCTTCTCCACCGCCGTCTCCCAAGCTTTCGGAAGAGAAGGCAAGGACGTCTTCCTCGGGGCCCCGTTACACTATAACCTGGCACCTGACATGGCTTGTCGTTGGGGCCGTGGTTTCCTGTTCCTATTTGAGAAGGCGAGAATGGCCGGTGCGTTGGATAGGACCAAGCCTCATCCAAGCTGTGTGAATCACACTGGCAAGGGAAGGAGAGATGCAACCTCTATCCCCTCCTTGGAATCAACAGCAACACTAGTGTGGACTCGCTTCATCAGCATGATCAGCTCCTATCGAAATGCTTTCGGGGTGATCGCATCTAGCTGCTGGGGAGAAACGAGACCAACCCAGGACTTATGAACTTGAAGCCTCCGCATTCCGAAAACCAGCAAATGACATTGAACTGAAACCGCTGTATTCCAAAACCGACATGCTATTGGTGATTCTTTCCCTCTGATACTTTTCAATAGGGTGGCTAACAGGGGGGAGGGATTGACGTTAGACGAGCCGCCTCTCCGAAATGTCGCAGAAGACCAACTCTTGAAGTGAGCACCGCTCTTTGCCTGTCGCAAGAACCCATGTTGAACAGTGAGGCCAAAAGACGAATCTTCAAATCTTGGAATAATTCCAAAATCGGCGATTGGCGATCCCCGAGTACAGGACCTTCGTCCTGGTAAGCTTGTTTTAGCCCCAGGTGAGCTCGCCATGAATTGGCAAACAAATGCACGTAGCTGCTGTCATGTACAGCATGAGATCTCACACCAGCACCTCTTGAATTCAAGAAAGACGATGGTTGTTGGCAAAACAATGCCGATTCGGCCACATCATCGTTTTCCTGGGGACAGGTCGGAGAAAGACAGCTGGCCCTTGAGTCCAACATACAAGTCAACATCAAAAACCTGATGTTAAAGGAGTCTGCCCGAAACCATGTAACCAACAGAAAGGGCGGATATCTGCACCTGCTCGGCTCTTTTGGTACTTATTAATGCCTGTGGGTGGGTCCACAAAAAGACTCCGCATCAAAATCGTACCCTGTACCCCCCTTCAAATCACCCCACCTAGCAGAGTACACTGACTTTGAAATTGGACCACCAAGCGATGTCTATGGCTGAAAGGGGAATATGTATTCGGGCTGATTCTAAAACGGGTGTCTTTTCTGGAGTGCCGCTTCTGCTACCCTTTTGGCTTGAAATGAACCAACGGAACGCACCAGGTTGGAAAGTTCTCACACTTCCATTCATGAGGTTCGATCCAAATATGCTAACGCACGGCATGGAATATTGGAACCCGGGTCTTTGCTGGAAACTTAGAGAGCCCCCATGTCCAAAATTATCAATATAGATTACTGGATCATGGGAACCTTGGAATCAACCCCTTGATCGATAGGCTGTCCCATTTCAGAGAGAATGATCCACGTTGATAAATCCAGGGTCGACAGTACTGGCCCCACTATTCTAACATGAAAATCGCCCCCTAAATGGTAGGTTAAAGTAACACAGCCTCATATTCTTACCTCACCTCCTCAGTGGATGGGCCAAAAACAGTGCACACGCTTTCTTTACCACTCAACTACTCTTCCGAAAAAGTTACTCTGACCCGCAAAAAACAGTATTGAAAGACCATGAGCCCAGCATTCTTTGGCCATGAACTTTTAATAGGGAACCACCTCCAAAGCGGATTCCCCACTTAATCTGACCCACAAAAACCGCAACAACAAAAAAGACGAGCCCAGCACTACTCTGAGATTTTTACGCGAGGGATTCGGGCCTTGCAGCACCGCCAAGAGGTGCGCAATGACCCGCTTCTCCCGCTGCTCCAGACATAGATGGAAGCTGCCCTCTGGTTGGATGAAGGGAAACGTGACCTGCCAGTCGTCAGGTCCAAAGTAATTACTGTCACTTTCATAGTGGACGAAATCCATTTCGCACCACTAAATGAAACCATGGGAAACCATTGGCTTTTACAGGGGAATCATTGCTCAGGGTTTCTTAGCTAGTGCAGGATTTTGTCCACCCACAGTAGGTGGCCTGTTGGAAAAATAGATGGCCCTGGTACATGGAAATAAACCCATCTAAACTTGTGGAACCCATCTATTCTTAACCAAACCTATTCAGGAAACCTATGGTCACATTTTTTAGGTTGAGACCTGTTGATGCTCAGGGAGGAATCGAACACTTTTTTGCCAGGGGCCTGCAAAGGGGCTTGTTTTTTTTGTTTTGATCAGCTGGGTTGCAACCCCAATACAAAAACAAACAACAACCTGTCATTTTCTGTGTCACCTTATACCAATCATGTTGAAGTTGCACATCTTCTACCGGTGTCTGAACAGCAAGCAGCATGCACTGATTGCATCTTTTTGCGTCAAAGCTGCTAGATAACCCAATGACCTCCGAAATCTCTGAAGCGTCTTTGGAGTGTCGAACACAACGCGGAAGATCGTCTCGTTCTGAATGTCCACTACCTGACATCAAGTCACATGAGCGCCCCTTGCCGAATATGCTTGGATTAGGATGACTGCCAAAATAAAAAGGCAACCTAATGCGGGTGTTCCCCATGTCACCGTTCACAAATCATGGCTCGAAAGGAGCCAGCCTCAACATTCTGACCATGGGCCGTGCCTGGAAGTAGAGCATCACGGCGGCGCGAAGCCTGGCTTCCTCCCAGGGCAAGATACCTGAGAACATATGGCTGTGGGCAAAAATGGGTACCCAAAATGGAGCCCTGGTAAATGGAAGCTTGGACTACAACCTGCGGTTTGCTGGTGGAATTTTGACCCATACCCACATGGACTCTGGGGGTTGAGCAACAAAACCCCCCCATTAATTAATGTGACCCAGACTAAGGAAGGAGGCCGCTGAAGAACCGGGAGGCTCACTTGGATTGACCAAAGGGTCCAAACGTTTTACCACTCAAATGGCCTTTCCACTTAAAGTGGCTAAGGGAGAGTGGACCTTGAAGGGTAAAAGGGGCTTCTGCTCCAGAGTCCCCTGGAAGGTCCATAGATACATGGCCCGGCTCTAGTGAACCAATAGGGTACCCCAACCTTTGTTTGTCGAAAAACACTGCAACATCTGCGGATCTCTAGGTCCTTAATGTTGAGCCACACCAATGTCAGTGTTTTTTTTCAGGAAACCAGCGGACAACCTGTCGGAAACCCGGGAGGAAGCCATTCGACAATTGTATACCCACATAGGTGTGTTTGAGGTTCGGTGCCCTTGCTAGGCTGGATGCTCACTGCAGACTTCCACTGGGAGATATTTGGAGACAAACCCACAGGTAGATGAGAGTCGATGATCTTGAACGGAAGCCAATCAAGCAAAAGCAAAAAAACTGGCGAGACAACAAGCACAAGCCCCTAAGGATAAGCCCGATGATCAAAACAGCCACCTGGAACCTCCACCCTCAAATGTCAACCATCAAGGCCTTTTAGCTTGTTGCAGTCATAATAAAAACCTGGTATAATAGGGGTCTACCCAACTACCCAATAACTAAAGGATGGACATCTCCTTGCTTATGGCCAAACATAGTTTGTCATGGGTGGGTTCTACTTAGATCTGGGGCAAACATTACCAGCCCCCAACATCTGTTGTGTCCAAAATACCAAGTACTGTCGACAACGAAATGGTCGGGGGAACATTCACAACCTCGTTCTCCTTCAACCATATAACCAATAAATAAAAAGTAACATAACAATATGTAACATAATATACTACAATCCAACATACTATAACATATACCATAACAGAAGACAACATCACCTAATGTTTGACAATGTAACGTAAAATGGTTTTAGCTCTTGTTCACGCACCTGTCTTTTCCTTAGGACCCTTTTGGTCTCCTGGCTTCCGACGTTTTTCTTCGCCGGCCGGAGCGAGCGGCTGAGCAGCTCCCGCATCTGGCCGCAGGAGAGGAACCTCACTTTTGCGAGCGCCGCTGACTTTGGAATCGTGCAGCCAAGGCTCCGTTCGGCTCTGCTCAGTACACAACCCGTGGGTTGCCCAAGTGGGCCGGCCCATAGGCTAAGGCCCCCGGCCAAAATCAAAAATACAGCTCACCCTGACCTAGCTCTTTTGTTGGTTTAACACTCTGTCGGTCACTCTGGATGCCAAAACCAGATCAGCCCATAACCAGCTATCATGCTGCCTTTTTCCCTTCTTCCGATGGTTATAACCTACACCTCTGCAAATGGACCTAAACAATAATCGCCTGCACCCCGGCAACTGTACATGCGGCCCAACAAACCGCAAAGTCCAATTTTTTTGAAGTCAAAACTGGTTGAAACCAAACCTGCTTGAAACCACCGGGAAACCACCGGGACACGCTCCAAAAGCCCTCTAAGGCTAGACATAAGGACATACCAATCTTCTACTTCGTGCTTTAATTGAGGGTTCTTGGAGCAATCCTGAAAACTGCCCCTAAACATGGGTGGACTCCTTCTGGTTCAATTTGAACACATTACACAAGGGCGGCCAATTTGAGAACCCTCCGTTTTGACCAAACCTTTGGAACGGGATTCATTTTCCTTTGACTAACCCCACCAAGCACCTGTGGGAAAAATACATTAGCACGGAGCTGTTCCCCCTGCAAATTGTTAACTTGGAACCCAAAAAGGGAGGGTGGAACCCAACTAAGGGGAGGAGGGTTGGAACCCAAAGGGGGGGGGGGGGGTGAAACCCAAAAGGGGGGTCCCAAAAAAGGCCGGGGAAACTCCGACCCTCCAAAAAACGACCACACCCAGAATAAAAAACCTCTCTCAGAGGCCAAGGAACAGCTGGTGCCCGGAGCGGCGCAGGGCTTCCACTTTGGCCAAGCCCTCCACCTGCGCCAAACGTCGAGTCGAACGTCGAACGTTGAGCTCGGCGGCTGTTGGGGTCGATTTTGAGGTCCACACCAAACCACTGGCCAGGTGGGTCCAACTCTTCAACATTCATACCTGGATCCTCAGTTGGGTCTCTTTGGCAGGAAACTATGCATGGCCCTGGGGCCCAGTTCGTGTCTGTGACAAAGCTCGAAGCTCGCCCATGCCGACGAACGTGGGAAGACTTGGGCCAAACGAATGATGCCCCACGCTGAGAGCCCTGAGGACCGGGCCTCCTTGAAACTGCTCAGCAGCCTCAGCCGCACGGCCCACAGCTCGCGCTTTGGGCATCTCTCAAGTGACTTGCCCAAAGATGGATGACTGTTCAGTGGCGCTTTGTTGCTAATTTCAAGCAAAGGGAACCAAGAAAACTCACACACACACACATATTTTGTGGCCGGTTTCAATCGGAAAACACAGTCACCGTTGACATCTTGTTTGGGGCTCTACCGGGACGTAAACCTGCGTTTCACGACCGTGTGGTTGGCATGTGTCAAAGGAATCCAGCAAAACGTTGATCAGCTTCCCTCTGATTGGTGCTTTGGATTCGTGGTTTGGTGGTTAGGAAAAAGGGTTTCCCATCTACCCTCTACAAGAAACGTTCAAATCCAAATCCAAGCCAGTCCAAACCGCCAAATACCAACCTGATGGTTCCTTGTTAAACCGCCAAATACCACCAATGCCAGTCCAGTACCATACAACGTTGGCATTTTATTTGGCACGTGTCAAAGACATCCATGTGGGGACTGAGAAAACTGTGGCGTTCAGTTCAGCCGGAGCAGCTCCAGCAGCTGCTCGAAGTAGCCTTGGCTGATGGCATCGCTGCCACTCGGCGGCCTCCTGGCGCTGACGTAGTCGAAGTCCAGCCGCCCCTCCCGGGGCAACGCCCACCTGCCGGGGATCCCCTGGTTTCTTCGGCTGGGGAAAATGGACATGAATTCACTTCCATTTGCTGAGAAGTCCTCCTGGGAAAAAATAGGATCAAATTTCAGTAGTCATAGATTCCCTCTAAAACCAAGAGGGGATCAAAAGCACAGGCGGTATGCCCAACAGCCCCGCAAGCCCTGGAACCCTCCGCTGCTCGAATCACCCCAAAGCTTGGTCAAACTCCCCGGGCTTTCAGCGGGGAAAAATATGATATGGAAGGGCACTTCAGGCACTGGTGCCCTGCATAGGGCACACGGGTTAACCCCCAACCCGCGAGCACATGGGTGTGTGTTCAAATATGGATTTGGACCCCATGGATTCACGACTTGCGTGCGAATTTGATCACACTCACGCGCCTTTTGATTCGCCTCGGGACCCAAAGACTTTCTAGTGGTCACTTCTGTGTGAAAGCAACAGGGGTTCAAAGCAAAAAAACAACACGTGCAGGTTGCCATGGAAGCCTCGGGAGAAATTGTCCCTTGAAGCAAACTGCTCAAACCAACCCCAGAATTAAACTTTCCCATGTAAACTGTGGGATGATCCAAGGACCCAAACAAGTAAGAGTCCAAAATACGAGCTGACATTTTGTCCTAGCATGGCTGTGTAGGCAAACACGTGGGCCTTGTCACCTCAACCAGTAGCACAACCCACTAAAACGGCCTTTTCGGGGGTTTTGGGCACTCAGGTGGAAACAAAAGTTGCGCCTGGAAACATCTGGCTTCCAGGGCCCCTGGTGGAACACGTTGCGCCAGTGCGACTGGTCCCCCAGCTCCTCGGACCAACCAAATGAAGGGCCTCTGGAGTTCCAAAATGCAAGGAACAATGCACCTCGCTTGTTGAGGCAGTGGATTTTAAAGGGACCCGTTTCCGAAAAAAGGTCAAAAGGGTAGCACTGGTCAGCAGATTTTGGAACCCAGCACTAAGATCTTGGCCGGTTGCTTTGACGGTCCGCCTTAAACTTTCGCCGCGCGTCCTTTGATACTTTCCGGGATGCCAACGGGAACTGGGACACTTGAAAGGGAACTACCACCCAAGGCCATTTTGGGGGGTTCCCCCTCATGAGAATCTAGGCGAGAGGCTGAGGTGTCGGTGCGCTGGCGCCTATCGAGCTCCATATCCCAGAGATTTAAGGAGGACAGCTGTTCTGCAATGGCCGCATCCCTGGGACACGACCTAAGGCCGAAAAAGCGGCTAGCGATCGGCAAGCATCTTACCGGCAGGCCACGGCTTGACAGCTTGACCCCCCCCCCCTCCCCGTTTTTTTTTTTTGAGCAACAGGTGTACGGCTTCAAATTTAGGTGTGATTTCCCGGGATGCAAACTCTCAATTTAGGTCTGGGGGTGTTGCCTGGAAAAGTATGGAACTCGGACTGGGCGCAAAGCTGTGCTACATGCATTGAGCGCGCGGCATGTCCAGGCGGTAGTGCCAGTTGGGGCATTCGAGGTTGATCATCAAATGCCCCATGTGCTTGCATTGAGATACCTTGGTCCGTTGATCCCGCGGAAAAACATGCTTTTAGCGGGATATGTCACAACTCCAACTTCAAACCCCCAAAAGTCCGAACGCTTCAGGCCTGTGGTATACACGTGCTTCAATACATGTGCATAATAAATCTACAGAGAAATAGAGGCGCCAGGAAGGGGTGTACCATATATAGATATATACATTCTATACATATATATACTTCTTTATCTGGCGTTGATGCGTATATCCGGGAACCGAGCTGCGTACTCTTCCATGGTGGTTGCGTACAGCAGCAGCAGCTGCGGAGGCTCGTCGTGGGGAAGGCAGCAGCTGGAGAGAAACGCCTGGTGCTCCTGCCCAAAACGAGGTCTTGGAGGCCTAAAGGCAGCGCCTTCAGATGCGTGGAGTTCCAGAAAAAATCAAGGCTCGGCATCCGATTTTTGTGGGGGTTGGTGGAGTTTAAAGGGAAGCCTTCCCAGAAAGGGAAACAGGGCACCACCGGGCAACTGAGTGGTGTGAAGTTCAAGAGGCGACCCGAAATGGCGAAAATGAGAATTCAAGGGATTCATATATCCACCAACCACTTTTTATGGTGGCTCTCTATTCCATTTTGCGCAGCCTCTTCTTGGCGTGGGATTTGACGCGGGGGGCCGTAGATTTGTCACCGCCAAGGCGCAGCCTTTGCACAGCGCAGCGCTCGGATCTGCTCCGGGCGGAGGAGGAAGTCCGTACACAAGCACTCCAGCATGGTCTCTTGCTCCTGGAAAAGCTGGCCACATGTATCAAAATCCGTCACCCCGGAAGTGGTAGGTCAAAGGGAAACAACCCTCCCAGGTTCTGACTTTGACAACACTCACAAAAAATACTGTAGTGGCAGCTTCTTGGCTTTGGCAGTTCGACTTGGTTCGGGCAATGTAGCAAAGCCAGGAATCTCTGGCTGGGTTCGTGCTGATTTTCTAAGCCGTCCGTGTTCCAAAATGGTCCCCAGCTACGCCTGGGTTTGTCTCCAAAACGGGAGCACAATTGAAATTGATTGGTTGTTTTTTTTGGGTTTAAATTTCCAACACCACCCCTTTCCTGAAAAACCAAGCCCGTGTCTTGGGTCCCTTTCTCAGGAAAAAACGCCCCCGCTCCAGAATGGTCCCAGCATTGGCCCATTGTATCTTCAAATAGGGGAACCCCCCAAACATGGTACTTCGGTTCTCTGTTTCCCTGCGGGTTTCCCCCAAAAACAGCCCGCAAAAGGGTACCGGGTCTCCAAAAAAAGACAGGGCCCCCCCCCCCCAGTTCCACGTCGCCTTGGCGCTGTCGCGTGTTTTCTGCCACAGCGCCAGAAGCGGCGCTACCTGCCGCTGGGGTCGATGTTTGGCAACGACTTGAAGCTCCCGAAACAGAAAAACACACGGGGGACTGCCTTTCGCACAGCGGGGGTTTTGGAGAACCAAAGAGATTTGGGGGGTGGAGGGGGGGGGGTGCTGCAGAGATGCTTTTCCGCGGGCAAATTGCTATTCACAAGCTGGAAATGAGGATTATCTGTCTGAACATTCCCCGATGGGTTCTGCTTGGCATCCCGGCAAAGGTGATGTGAATGGCCAAATTGTATCCGAGGAGACCGGACAAATTTGTACTCCTTACGTGCCACAGCGCCAACACAAGGATCTGAGAGGCCGCATCGATGAGAACACCCTTCAAATAATTTCAAATAATGGTTGATCCGCAGAAGTGCCAACTACACAACACTCGCAAAGGGGCATGGCTTCTTCTTTTTTTTTTAAGATGGTAAGGTCCAAACCATTGAACAGGATTGAGATCATTTGACCTCTACTCAACCATCATCTTCAAGGTGGTTTAATATGCGTCAACGCTGCTCTGTAAAGACAAGATGCAAAGAATACTGACCTTGCCAAGCCATACCTCAAGCCCCTCAAACCCCTTGAACCCCTCAAACCCCTGCCCTCCGCGCAACCATTCACGCCCCTGCCCTTCTTGAAATCTTTCGAAATGGACGGTACACCGAAACCCATTTCTGTGGGTCGCCTTGTGCAGTGCCGGCGCCAGCCGGCGACGGCTCCGTTGCGCCAGGAAGGACCACAAGGACCGGCCCTCTGGGCTTTCTACGCCTGGCCAGGTCTCCTGGGTGTCAAAAAGGGTCACCTTGTTGTTTGGGGGGAGGGGGTTTGAAGTATGGAAATCCCCAAAGGAGTTCTCATACACTCATAGGCTCCTGTTTGCCCGGGAAAAAAAAGCAGCCCACCGAAGGGCACTCACTTTGAATTGGAGGTGTTTAGAGCACCAAAGTGAGGGGATTCGGAACTACTTTCCTTTGGTTTTCTATGAGGCTTCCTAGTTTTTGCTGAGGCCTGGTTTCCTGTGTCAATGAAAGGTCTATGTCCCATGGCTTCCTATGGTTTGCCTATGAGTCGTAATCAAAACCGCTAAGTGGTCTACCCACGCCCATGGTGAAGAATTCAAAGGGCAGATCTCCAAACCAACTTTTATGGTTGGGAATATCCCCTCAACTTCACCTAACTGGGTTTTGATTGTGGCTCAACTGGCGTGCGCTTGGCCTGCCACTACACATGGAACAAGCACATAGTTATGTTCAAATGTCAGGCGTTTCCCGAGGGATTTGTTGCTGGAAAGAAAGAACCCAAGGGAAGTTGCCCTGGTCATATGGAAAACCCGAAACGGGGGTTTTAGATCAACAAGCAAATGGCGGGCGGTGTCCGCCGAGGTGAGGCTAATGGCCTTGGCTTCAACAAATCAAGTGAAACATCAGTTCAGCCTGCGCTGGCTGGCCCCATCTAGATCTCTCCCTCTCTTTGCCTCTCTCTCCCTGGTAGGCAGGCCAAAGCCAAGAGACCCAACCAGAAAAGCAAAGCAGCTTTACAAGGCATGGAGGCACATTATCCTCCTGCGTACCCTTGATTTGATACAAGCATAACAGGGAAATCCCCGGACACAGTTGATTTCCTTTTGCTTTGCCTTTCAACAACACCCAAAACAAATCCTCCAACACTTTGCGGCGCTTTCTCAAAAACCGCCCTTTTGCGCCAGCGCCGGTCCGCGCCTAGGCCATCCACATTGAAGTCCATGGACAGGGTCCCTCCAGTCGCCACGTTCCAGCGCCCTTTCTGCTTGCTCGCATGCTGATATGCCGCATGGCTACTGGCAACCATCTGGAATGCCACCGATGGCCGCACCCGAAAGCGCTCACAGGTCTTGTAGATCCTGGCTGGTTCATGGCTGTCATGGCTGGAAGCCAAAAAAGGAAGGAATGTAGTGTAGATGTTTTTCCTGGATTCTGGGAGAAAGGGTCCTCGCATGCCGACAATTGTCTCACAAGAACTATCTCACGGCTCCCTCCTCAGACAATATGTTGCCATCAAATCTGCAGAACTGATAGAAACCTACCAAATCATTTTGTACATATGTGGCACGAGCCAATGTTTGTAGTGCTGAAAACTGGCTGGGGGCGCTGTACTACATTCTTGCAGCCACAAAAACACACCCTGGCCCTGGCAAAGCATTGCCAGTGAGGTTGCGGTTCTGCCTGGCGATCGTGTGCTCCAAACCAACCGCAGCGCTACAACAGTGGGACAAACCGCACAATTGAATTGCAGATGGGTATGTCTTGAAATTTGAAGAGGACCCTTTTGGAAGATTAAAGCAGGAACCAAAAATAATACCACTGCTTTTCAGGGGTTTAACAGCCATGTTGCGTTCTACTTCCCCGAAATGAGCATGCCTTATGCGTAAGCCACAACAAAAGGACAAACTTTGGGAATGTGCCCTGCATGTCCCCTGTACAACTCCTGTACTTCCCGTTTGCAAACACTGTTGGTTTGTATGTCCATTTAGCGCTGCAAAATACTGTTCTTTGTTCTCCAGATTCACATGAGTCACAATCAATACCTGGTACTAAAATTGCCCATCCAGAACCATGTAAAAAAATCAGCAGGCGGCCGCCGCTATTTCTGGTTGGGATCCTCCCTTGCTAACCCTCATCTACCCGGGTTTTGATTGTGACTCACATGGAACCTCTAGATACTTAGACTGTAGGTTCAAGGCGCCACACCATCCTTTTCTGAGGAATCACGTTGGAGGGGGGGAACATGGGGGAACCTTTTTTTGGCTCCATGTCATTCTGCGCAAACAACTATAATTCCCAATCCGGAAATATATAAGGAGCCCCCCCACAACCTACGCATCAAAAAAAGGCCATCATGGCTGAGCTTGTTTCACCCGCAGGTCTGCTCGTAGTGATTTGCCCAAATGTTCACACGTAATTGACAATGGAGACACGAGCGCCACAGCCCTCCAAACCACACCTCCCCACCCTAGGGATGTACTAGTCCCAGGTGTCCATTACACACCCCCTTTCATGGACCTCCAAGGAGGGCGATGGCGAGGGGGCCTCCACTCAAGGGGGCTACTTAGCAAGCAATTAGTAAGCAGGCGAAGCATAACTTGTCAACACCTCTTGGGTGTTCGGGCAAGTTAGGAAGTTGTTGGTAACCTAGGTCATCACCCACTCATACGTCCCCGTGTGGGATGAACAACCTCTTACGTGTTTTTTTGTGGCTCACCACTCGGCAACGAACCTCCAGCGCCCGACCCCTTCGACTCTCGAGCTCTTCGCGCAGGTCCTCCGGAGGATGGCCCGGTGGTACGGCCTCGCCAGGTCCAGCTCGTAGTGCCCGGAGGGGCTCCGCGGGCAGAAGCTCTCATCCTACGAGTCGCCCGAGGGCGGTTTTCTCGCCCAACCACTAGGAAACAGCCGAGTTTTTCGGGTTGGGCACCCCTTGCACCCTCAGAAAAAGACACCCAAATGGGTGTTTTTGAGCGCACCGTTTTGCTTGGTCTAGAGGAACACCAAAAGGACACCAATCGGATTTGAGATAAACCCAAATCAAGGATTCTCTGTGGCTTTGCACGACCTCCAAACCACTGCTCTTAGGGAAAACGGGGTACACTCCCGGTTGCTGAAACAGAAGCAGTTTGCACCGGTGGGAGGGCACGGCAGAAAGTTGCGGGCCCCTTTTCAAAAGGTACACTGCAGGATGAGCGTAGATTGCACAAACATACCCTTGTTTGGATAAAGGGGATGACTAAACCAAAGTGAGAGAATTGTGCCATCTACTCTCACCTAACTCTATCCCTTGGGTTTCCCTTTCAAAACCCCTGGGGAGGGGAAGAAGATGACACCTGGAGGGGTGAATCTTGGGGAGCCTGCCGACATTACTTGCCCAGGATGTTCGAGCCATTTTCAGTTTTGTCGCTAACGGAACCCCTTCCCCGCCTTTTTATTCTGGCCCCAACAAACCACCGCCTCCAAAAACAACACCAGCTACCCCTTGAATCGGCTGGTTCCCTCAACGACATCTGGGACCCTCCCAGCTGAAAGCCGTCCACACGCTTCTGCCTCGGCTTTGACACCGTAGGCGCACCCGTCCCAGCGCAGCCATTGCAGGCCGGAGGTCTTCTGGGCCAAGAGCCGGAAGACGCACCTGGCAACCACTATTTTGCCTGTAGCCTTTTCTCCGGTCCTAACAGGGGTCCCTGAAAAAATGTTGTTCTTCATATCTCCCCCAGTGAACATCCCAATCCCCACTAAAAAAGACTAAAATGGGTGGTGAATTCACCTACCCCAAATGGTACCATTGGTGTTGACCCACAGCATAATATGTTCATCATCTTTCAACACGTTTTTGTTTATTTGTTCATCCTCTGCTCTTTTCTTTCATGTTTTGATTGTGGGGGTGGGGAGGGGGGGCGGGGTGATAAACAATTAGTTTGTTCCTTGTAGTCGGGTGGCTTGCGCCGTCTGATTTTTGACCCCCCCCCCCCCCCCCCCGCAATTTTTCCACCAGGTGATGAATGCAGCGTCAACAAAAAGCATCGTGTAATGTACTACATATACAACTTCAAGTTCTCAAAACAGACTCAAGTGAGCACAAGGGGTGCACCATTTTGAGAAACAAAACACCCATTGGAAGTGTTTAAAATCTGGGATCCCCAAAATGTTGGTATTCGCCGTGCGCCCCCTTTCTAAGCCAACCTGCAAACAGCACACCCAAAGAAAAACGGACGCACCCACCCATCCCCATCCAAGGTCCAGTCTCCCGAAAACCGCCCGCCTCAGCCCGGCCGAGCCCAGCGGGTTCTCCGAGATCTCAAGGTCTGCGAGGCATTGGAGCGTGTCGGAAGCGTCTTCCAAGATGAAGGCGCTCCGAGAGTCGATGTGGTTCACAGAGATGTCCAAGTACGTCCTCAATATTTCCAGAAGCGATGAAATGGGGGGGGCGAAAGGAGGAAAAGGCCCATAATGTTATCAATGTGAAACATGATGGACAATGGACACATCAATTGAGCTAGTGTCTGAATGATTCATGCATCTCTCTGTCAGCTCTTTGACTGTGTCGATTCCATGCTGGCAAGTCTACACCCAAATCCCAAAGTTTTTCAAAGCCATCCTTCGCGGCCGGGGACAATTGGTATGGACTTTGGACAAATTGGGAAGGCCAAGCTTAAGATCTCCGCTTAAGATCTCCTGCCCACGTTCTGGAAGCATTGTACCGCAAGTCTGAGGCAAGGACAAATGTTGCACATTGCAAAGCTGCTCCAGGAAGTAGTCAATGGGCAAATCCTGATGTGCTCTCCAGACACGAGGCAGGGGCGCACTTTGCATACAGGTCAAATTGTGCGTGTGTGTGTGTGTGTGACCTGCATCCCTCACCAGCGCAAAACATGCCCTTGCATGTATGCAGCACCCTGCTACCCAGCCATTTATTTATTTTTCGTCCGGCCAGTAAAATGTCGTATTTTACAGCATTTTCTCGCAAAATTGACGTATTTTACTCTAGCCCGTCAGCATCGTTTTCAACATCCCCCGCATGTCCGACCAACATCACCAGCATCACCAACAAATCGTGGGTAATAAAATCCAAAAAAAGTAGCCAGCGGGTTGACGGGTTCGAAAAAATGATGATTCAAATAGGAGGGCAGGGCACTCGCTGCAAAGCAAATCTAAAGCCACCCCCCCCAGGATGTTCTAGGAAGTGATGATTCAACTAGGGGTGCAATTAAATCTCTGTAGAAAATCTGAAAGGTAGCGGGGAGTTTGGGGGGGGGGCGGCAGCCCCCGCCCATGATGTTTGAAGAAGTGATGATTCAAATGGGGGTGCAATCAAATCTTTGCAAACAATCCAAAAAGTTGCGGGGGGGTTGGCCGCCCCTTCCATGATGTTCGAAGAAGTGATGATTCAAATTGGGAGGGACTGGTGATGCTGAGGATGCGGGAAGCCAAAGCCAAAAACCAATGAACCGGAGAGGAACTGGGAAAGCAGAGAATGCGAAAAGCCAAAGCCACCAAAAGCCCGAAAAGCTGCAAACCTGGTTTGAACTGGGAATGCAGAGGATGCGAAAAGCCAAGAAGCCGAAAAGCCAAGAAGCCAAAAGCGGAAAACAAAATGCATACCCCCTCCCAGCCAAAATGTGGGGAAAAGAGCAACCAAGCAACTACGTGTGCAAAGCTTCCAATATGCTTGCAGATGTCCCGAGTCCTGCACGTAGGTAGACATGTTGGAGCCTAAATATGTTGCTTGTTGCATTTGAGGGTGCGGTGCATCTAGATGTACGCAATGCTCACGAGATTTCAGCTTTCACAACCATTGCAGCCTTGAAACAATGCGGTGTGACTCCCGCCGAAACTGGGACGAGGACGAGGACGAGGACGAGGACGCGGATGGGGTGGGATGGGGATGAGGATGAGGATGAGGATGAGGAAGATGAAGATGAAGATTCTTCCAAATGCCCCCCGTAAAATTGTCGTTTCAAACCGAGACTGCCCTGGACAGCTTGCCATTTTCAATGCCACTCCTCAAGTGGTAGGTTTAAGAAAACCAAGCCCAGCTTCGTGGCCAAGAGGAAATTTGCCTGTTTCACATCCCTTCTGGCATGCCATCCCCTTCGAAAAAGGCTGTTTCAAATCGCGAAGCGTCATGGTTCTTCAGGGCCCCTTCAAACATCACCTCCAAAAATGGGCCCCTTGTAAATTGGCACCAAAAAGGTGATGTTTAAGCCATCCCAGAGCGCGAAAGTATGAGCGCGCGCGTTTCTGTGTGTCTGTGTGTGTGTGTGTGTTCGCAGAAGTACACTGACTGGGGTGAAAGCAGATGGCAGAATTCCCTTGTTGCGGGCAAGCACAGGGGATAACCAAACCAAAATGGGTTGGGAATTGAGTTCTCCTACTTTCACTGGTCGATTCCTTCCGATTCGCATTCAATCTTCTTTATTTTTTTGGGAAGGTATGTTTTGCACCGAACGGCCGGGCCCCCAGCCGTTTTGTTGAGCTTTTGACACCAAAATCCCCCGACCGGAAGCCGCCGTCGGGCTACGGGGATTCCACCCGAGGCCCTGGCGCGCACGGCGCGGGTCATGTTGGAGCACCCGGCCACCGCGAGGCGCGCCACGCTCCCGGAGCTCAAGGCGCGGCCCAGCTGCGAGAAGGCCGCGCTGTCGAAGGTGTTCCTCGGGCCCGGCCCGCATGGGGAAAGGGGTGGTGTTGGAAAGGGGAAATGGGACCTAAGGTGCCCGAAATGGGACGGACTGGGAGGGGGGGGCATCAGAGCGCCTGCCCATGGGCTCTTATCCCACCAGGGCTGCTCCTTTGCTAAAAGTTTCACCTTTAGCAGGTTAAATGGAAACCACCACTAAACCCTAAAAGCCTGAAAAGCTAAGGGGATGGCCGGGAGCCACCAAGCCACCCTACAACCTCTCTGAGTAGAACTTGTATCTGAAGTGGCAACCACTGTTTTGGGTGCACATTTGAGAAGGCACTTGACACCAGAAGGCCCCGCTGGCATTTTCAGATGGGAAAACTCGTTGTAGCCCAAAACCATTTGGCTGCCCAACGGCATTGACCCTTTTCGGGGGAACGAATTGCCAACCAGCTGCGCAGCTGGAGGCTCCAACTGATTTTGACCACGGATCCAACTGGCTTCAGCACACTCAAGCCTCGCAAGTAGCCATGGGAAAAAGACAGGTACCTTTTTTGGTGTATGCGCTTTTTTGTTTAGAGAACCAACCCCTCCCCCCCCCAAAAAAAAAAAGACAAAGGGGGCGCCACATGGCGCCACAACACCCACTGCCCATGAGTCCGAGACACCAGCTGAGGTCAACCTCCTGGGCAGCATTTTGTTCACCCGTTGACGGGGGTGTCCCAAAGCAGAACTCGAAAACTTGTGTTGTCCTTTTGGCTTCCCTTGAACACACACCCCTTGTCTGGGCTGTTTTTAGACCCTCTGCTAAAAAATAACTGTTGAGTGGGTGAAACGGGAACCCCAACTAAACTCCATAGACCTTCGAAATCCAAGGAGACGGCTGGGAACCACCCCCTTGGGTTCCTCAATTTGAGATTGCACCATGACTGCCCTGCGCAAGCGATCGGAACCCGTCTATTAGAACCGGACAGCAAGGGACACCACCCTGGTGTCACACACACACACCCATGTTAAAACACAACAAACGCAGCACATATGTGCGGCTGTCTAAACTCCTTGTATGTCGCAATGGACACCGCAAATTTGGGAGGTCCCCATCGCTTCACACATGTTTCCACGTTTGGTTGTTCCAGGGCATCGCTCTTACGTATGCTCAATTACGGGTCTGGAAGACAGGGCGCAGAGCTGGTTAAAGGCAGGCACTGCCTTCTTCTCCGCTGCTGCTTTCTGCGCCCTCTGTAATCTTTTTTGATACTTGCGGACAGCTTCTTCCATGTCTGGCAACTAAATGGGCAACTGTTCAACTTGGTGACCTTTGGGCATCGCTGAGGGCATCGTTTGGGCATCGCTTTGGGCATCGCTTTGGCGCCCATCTTCTTTGAAAAATGGTTTTTGCTTCAAGCATGGCCACCAGGAGCTTCAAACAGCGGCAACCGACAATGGTTTCTCTTCAGCCAGAAGCTGCCAAGTCCTGATGTAATGGGTTTCTGTTGTTTGGAGGGTCTCCATTCCGGCTTGAACCTCCACGATCAAGCGAAGCAAGCAACTGCACTCTGCAAAAGTTAATGTATGCAAAACAAGGGCATCGTTTTTGGGAGGTCCCCATCGTTTCCCACAGGAATCTGCACTTTTGGAAAACTGATGTCCACCGAATACATATCTCCATTGACGTGAGTTTTGACGGTTGCTCATATGGAAGCTCATTTCACGACCTGTGCCGTTTTGGAACTCCCATGCCTGGCCAAAAACCGTCCGCCCGCGCCCGGCAAAAAAGCGCCTCGAGGGATTGGCTCTGGAAGAGGCCCTGCAGTGATGTCCGCGCGCATCGGAGTTTGCCCAGGCCCAGGTTCGCCAAGTTGGCCCGCCACAAATTCGGGTGCCGTCCTCGGTAATATTGAGTCGGTTTGACGTCGGGCGCCGTCCTCGGTTTCTGGCGTTTAGTTTTTGTCTATTCAACTGCCGGTTTGCGTGTTGTTGTTGTTGTTCTCAAATTGTTGTTTTCGTGTTTTCAGCTGCCGTGAATGTCTGACGTGGTGCTGTTCAAATGCCGCCAGGGTTCCTCATGTCTCTGTTTGTTTTCTTTCGATGGAACCCCAAGTGGCCAGAGCTTGGCTAGGAAAAGCCGGTTATCCCCTCGGCTTTGCTTTGACACACCCCCAAACAGGTACATGGAACTGACCTCGCTTCGCGTTTTCGGGGTTACCCAATTCTGGACATCCCCGAATGCCAGAACGCACTTGAAAGGAACTATGATGGACCGCAAAAAAAAGGCTTCGATTTGCCTTGACTCAATCTGCAGCTATTGCAGCATAAGTTTGATTCTCTACCACAAATGGAACTCTCCATCAATTTGTATCCATGTTCATGTTTCACCATGTCTGCACAGGCAATATCAATCAGTTTTCCGCAGTGAGAGGAAACAAGTCTGCTACTTTGTTCCAAAGCCACGTGACTGGTAGGTTAGCCTCCTTTGGATCGTACATGATTGATTTGGGCACAAGCCATTGCGCGAACAGCCTCACTCGGGTTCGTCTAAAACAAACTTGGGCCGCACAGAAAATCGTTATTGCGAAGCTCTCTTCTACACCACCACTTCTTCCATGCTCATGCCCCATGTCAGCTGTCTGCTAATGACTGCGGATGTGAGCAGTGCCTTGAATAGAGGACGACCCTTCGACCGCCGAAAGCATCTGGGTATAGTAATGAATTAAGCATTAACCCGCATATGAATATATATGTTATATTATACAATATCATATATATATATATATGTGTGAATAACCTTGTAGTCAGCAAAGAAGGGCACGCTTTTGAGGGGTGAAAACCCTGTAGCTTTCAGTGTCAAAAGGAGGAGCCTTCCAGCACCCCGACCACTGCTTTTTGGACAGTACTAAGGGGATTCGAACATGAGAAAAAGCAGTTGTTGGGTGCAGGTTATGCCAAACAAATGAAGCATGTCACTCAGTCTCCTTCCGTCAACCTCCCCTTAGCGTTCTGGCAAACCGCAACGCGAGCACGCCAGCCTGTAGCTGCTGCTCTGAAATACCGCGTCCCCAGGGCCCCTTGCCCATCTGTTGGATTTCTCGAGGGCTTGCACTCAAGGGCCCTTGAGAATGCCCGCGTGGCCAGGCGAACCGCGCATGCGTCGCCTGCCCCACCAGAGCCGCCCCCAAGGCCGTGCCCGAAATGACCCCGGCGCGTGGCCGGGCGCGCAAAGCCCTGCGACCTGTCTGCCGGGCCTGGTCGCCCGCCTCGCCCGCCTCCGCCCCACCCAGGCCGCTGAAGCGGCCACTGCCGACGCCGACAAGCCGGGCGCATGCGAGACTGATGACCGCGCCGGTGGCGAGGCAGCCAGCCAGGACGTGGGGCGGCGCGTCGCGCAGCGCTGCAACCCAAAACATGAGGGCGAAGGAGATGATGTTTGTGGCGTTGGCCATCGCGGCAGCCAGGCCGCTGTCGCACCCGGCCTCCGCCGCATACTGCACCGAGACTGCAGGGATGGGGCAGCAAAGGGCCGAGACAACCACTGCTCGCACCGTCGGTGGAACGCCGGCCGCTGCGCCGGCCACAGTGACGGCAGCAGCGACGGAGAGCATCAGCGCGTAGCGGACGGTGAGCAGCGCGAGGAGCACCTCCCGCTGCGCTGCGTCGAACCTTGGGCGCAGCAGGATGCCGAGGGCCAGCAGGACCAGGACCTTGTTCGCAGCGGCCACGTCTCCGAGGATGGCCATCAGCCAGGCCGGGAGGGCCACGCCTGTGGCACGCAAGGTCAGGCCAAGCCAAATGGCGGCCAGCGGGGGGAAAAACAGCAGTTGAAGAAGGGTTGTAAACGCCAGCTGCTGCGGCGACGGGCGTTTCTTCGTGGAGAGGGTCGCGAAAATGGCGCGGTTGTAAGCAAAGTTCACGAGCATGTTCGGCAGGTCAAAGATGGCCGCGATGCGCAAGCCGGCCGGGCCGTAGGCGCCCTCGATGATCGGGTAGGCAAACATGGCCAGGTTCACGCCAGTGGCCATCCCTATGAGTAGGGTCCGCGAGGCGTCCGCCTTCCGCCCCGCGAAGGAGAGCCAGGCCCCTGCAGCAGCAACCGCGAAGCCCAGCAGCGAGCAAACTGGCGCAAAGGGCAGTGCGCTGGAGCCGGACACACCCTGCGGCGGCGAGGAGAAGGTACAGAACACCAGCGTCGGCAGGGTGACGTATAGCGCCAGCCGCAGCGCCGCCCTGCCATCGTCCTCCCGCAGGCAGTCGAGGTTCCGCAGCACGCAGCCGAGTGCGATGAGCCCGAAGTTGGTGAGGAATGCCGCAGGGGCCACTGCCATGGACACACGCACGCCGCGTCTGGGGCCGGGGGGCCCAGGGGGCCACGAGACCTCGCAGGGCTGCCCCCTTGGACCGATATCCCAAGTGAGCTGGCATACAAATGTTCACAACCACGGCGAGGTCAGATTGGTGGCTGGGAAGGAACCGATGAGCCAAGCAGCCCACAGAGTCCATGAGCCGCTGCTGCGCAGCCATGGGCACTTGCACGCCGCTGATGTCCAGCACGTTCAGCAGACCCAAGCCTCAGGTGTATTTGGATGCAGCGCTAGTAGCTACTGAATTGTCGACTGTTTTGAATCCGGTGCCTGTTGATTGCCTGATCATGGCTGCCTGTTCCTGTCAAACAACTATTTAGGGGCCGCTTCTTCTCATACTTTGGATATTGGTGGCAACTGGTGCCCCTCCAAATCTCGAGACTCTAACTTTGGCAGTCCTGGCAGAAATCCCTCTAAACTCCAAGAGTCTGAGGTCGGGTATGGCTCGCAATTGCCGAATGGGGGGGGGGTTCATGTTGCTTTCCCTCCAGCCAACAAGCGCTCTTGGACGGCCATGAGTTTTTTTTCCCGCGGATCCCGGACCCTTGTTCCGGATGAAAAAGAGATCGCACACTCTCCTGGGTGTGAATTCTTATTGGGGACCCTTTGTTGGACTTTGTTTAGTGGGGAGTTCTGTTTCTTGGAGGTGGTTCCCAAGCAAAATCCATCTTGCCCCAAGCCAACCTTCCAAGCATGGCCCGCCCAAAGGAAACTCTGCATGCATCCGTAGGATTTCACCGAGTAAAGTCACCACCCATGCACAACTTATGTGAAGGAGGCAAGGCCCCAAGTGCCACAGTCCACATGTCACCTTACCCCTCTTGGAGGTTCGGGGGGATCTTCCCCGTGCTTCAAAAGGAAGAGTTCGGATCCCTAAACCACCAATTCAAAGCACCAAGAGTCATCTGGCCTTTTGGTTCTCCAACTTTGACCCAATGTTTAGTCGAGGCCCCAATGCAGTACCGTCGTCCTACCCATATTGTGAACTAAAAGAAGGATCAACATAGACAATAGCAAAGGTTACAAACTTGCGTTACCTTCGCGCAAGTTTATAGAACATGGTGGTTCAAGAATCCCCCAAGAATGCCGCAGAGCTCAACCCGCCCCTGAGGATTCCTTTCAGGGCTCCATGCTCTCTCATTTGTCTTCTCATTCCCTGCAAGAAAAGTCTCAAAAGAAGGGATATCTCCGGGGCTCAAAATCCTCCCTCCACCAATTCCATTTCGAAACAGAAAGGGAATCTATACGGGCCCGTATTTCTCCAAGGGGGATCCTGCCATAAACAGAGTGCCTGGATGGCAACTTAAAGATCTACTCCAAATGATCAGTGTGGGTATGATGTTGTACCTAGGGACCCTTTGGACCTCATTTAGCTTGGGTTGTATGGCCACCAACCATTTGGGAGGGTGTTCCAATCATTCAACTTCCTCCCTGCGGAAGTCCTCTCGCCAAGAAGCCGCCCTTGAGCAGCAGCTGAGCCAGCAGATCCAAAGCTGCAGCCCCCAAAGCGCAGAAGCTGAGGTTCAGACTGGTCAAGCACGTCCTCGCTTCCCAGTCGGTTTTTCGGGCGAAGGTTACCCTTTCCGCAGTAGAACTGTAAACAAACACCAACAAGAAGACAACCATTTTAGGGTCCCCTCATCGGAGACGCACGCATTTCCCTGTGGTAAAAGAGATGTGTGCGTTTTCTTTGCTACCGAGGGGAGGGAGTATCCTGGTTCAGTTCCTCCACTGCAAATTTAGGAGAGGAACCCTGAAAAACCAAGGGAGCCGACCTCTACAAATGAGCTTGGGATTCCAATCTGATTGCAAGGCCCGGAAAGCCACGTCTGGTCGCTGATACCTTGCTAAATTTCGTCGCTGGGTAACCTAGTTTTCAAGCACTATCTGTTCACCCGTTGAGCGCTGTGCCAACACACCTCCCCTGCAGATGGCAGTGCTTGCTTTGTCTCCTGAAACAATGGGATCCTTGGTGATGTTTGTTCGTGGTCAGCCGTAAGACGGAAACCTTCCCAAAAAGCCAGGGAAACCCGTGTCCACCTGCGCCCGGCCTCTGGAAGGACGTTTTCACAACCCCCCGAGGGTACCCCAATTTGTGGGTCAGGAACTGTCTTTGGTTTGCCAATCGACATGACCATGGTGTGTTTCTGTTGACACAACTTGTTCCCTGCGCACTTGTGACATACGTGCTTGTTTCTTTGGGACGGGGGGGTTACGAGGGAATTGCAAGAGGAACCACAGGTGTTTTCGCCTTGCTTCACTTTCAGACACATCCATACGCTGCAATTAACTGGTGCGTGTCGCCTCCCTTGGACGAAGCTACATGGATCTGCACATGCCACAATACTTCCAAAACATGAAACAGGTGATCCCCAAGCAAAACACATTCATCATGGAAATTTGCTCGTTGAACCCCTGAGTCAGAGAGCTCGAAACCCAAATAATAGGTAGATGAATCCCTACTGAAAAGGCCGGGGGCCGGTCCAACTCGTCGCAAGTCTCACACGCCACATGCACAGGTCCTCTTCTGCCCACACTCATGCCTGAGAATCGGCGCAGCTCTTGCAAAAGTATTTCCTGGAACAACAAACATATCGGTGTGCTTTGCGAGGGTTCAGATTGCCTCAAAGAGAAACCAGCAAGAAAGCCGCCATTTTGGGCCCTTTTCGCATACCCCCCACAAGCCCCATATGGGGACGCTGGTGCTGCCTCGTGCCGCCTTTAAAAGGCCCTCTAACTTTTGACAACCCGCTCCCCTACAGAATTCCCAGAAGTCGCGCGCAGGCACGTTTGGCACCACAGCGCATCGCGTGGAATTAGAACTGTTTCTTGGCAAACTTCTAGATACCCCCCCACAATACACATGGTCTGTTGCACAAACGCAAACACCCCTTTTGGAAGACATGGAAGACTACTTTCCTTCTGGAAAAGAGCCCATGTCAATGTGAAGAAACACCCCTTGTGTGCTGACCGAGCGGCAGGAATGGCACCAACGCGGCATCAGTAAGATTCCGGTTTCCGGACAGATCCACTTCCTGGAGACAGGCTGCACAAATCGATTTTTCTTTCATGCCCTATTGGAACCTATGGCACCATGGCCAATTCAAGTTACGAAGGCTTCCCCAAAATCAACATGGGACGTTTGGTGAGTCCCCCACTTGGACCATCATAGTCCGGAAGTTCGACCGAACCTCATATTTATGTCAACCGGCAAGAAGTGAACACTTGATGCAGGGGGTCTAAGTCTAATGTGTCCAAGTAAAAAAAAATCAAGATGTTGCAGACACCCCATCTATCGTTCACAATCGTTCACTCCCCCTGCAGATGAACACACGACCCAAACAACCCAGCGACAGAGGAACTTCCTTTTGGGGCTTTTGTGATATGGACATGACATGGACCCACTTCTTTCGGTTCCATGTTCACAGGGCAGTACAACACCGCATATGCTCTACTCGGTAATTTGGCAACACTCCTGAAAAAGGGCACGATGAATATTTGGGATTCTGCTTCAGGGCTTGCATTCACCATGTTCAGACAAACACCGTCCACAAACACTTCACCTCACCCATGGCACGTCCTCGATCAAGTCCACTTCCTTCGTTAGGGAAAGGATTGACAGCAGGTCCTCAGAGCATCCCGCAAACATCTGCGGGGTCCACTGACATTAAAGGCAGTCATGGAACCTACGAAGTCACAAAGACAGCATCTCTAGATCAAACTCCTTTTGACACACCTTTTTGCAGGCCTTCTTTCTGTGCAGCCGAGTACCAAAAGATGCTCTTTTGAGGGTTGGGTTGAACGCTTTGGCACCCACAATGAGGCCACAGGGAATAGTATATGTATGTATAAGGGTCATTCCCTGATTCCCCACGAGCAAGTTGGTTCCTGTCACTGGGAAAGGCTGACTTAGGTCTAAGCCCTCTTTTGCTCGGGGTTAGCAGGGCCGTCCCTATTGAAGGGACCATGACTATGACATACCATGACCGACATAAGGAGTCTTGAGAAAAAAAAAAGGAGCAAGTTTCGGGGTCCCCCGATTTTGACAAATGCCCAAATGTCACTGAAAATCATTGGTCAGTTGGTGAAAATCATTGGTTCAGTTTGCTCGATGGTCGAAAGGTCCCTTAGTTCTAGGGGTACCTTTTCCAGGGATGCTTCTTTCAGGAAACCAGCACAAACCCAGGGGAAACAGCCGGTTTTTGAAAAGAACGACGGTTGAAAAGAATGAACAACTAGAGTAGTGGATTATTTTCTCCCATTCCCACAGACACTTCTAGTCAGGTCGCTTTGTCTGTGAGGTTCTGATCTGCGGCCAGAAGATTGGGAGCGTGACCTGTGATGAAAGGAAGAGGCCTGGGGCGAACCCCCAGCTTGTTGCACGTGTGGATGTACCTCAGATCCCGGGCTTGGGCCAAATGCTCAAACACTGATTCGCAGCTTCCCTCTTTTGTGGGCCTGTTGGTTTGGAATTGGGGGAGGTTTCCCATTTCAACAAGAACCGGGGGTTCAACTCCCCAAACCGCCAATCCAAACCACCAATTGCGGATTACCTTAGTGTTCATCCCCCTTTGGTTCCCCTGCCAAAGGTGGCCGGGGTATGGTTGTTCCAACAATCTTTGCCCCACTGATCGCCGGCAAAATAAACAATGCGGCTCGCTGCTATCAGCCAGTGGTCTGCTCTTTCGCTCTCTCTCCCTCTTCTCGCGTTGGCCCAGCAAAAACACAAAATAGACAAAATCACCAAGGGATCTGGGCATGTGACTTAGCCAACTATCAATACACATCGGTGGAATGAGCAGACCACGCAATTCTCTAGGCTGGGCACGCAATTTCTAGGCTGGGCCCGGCTGGGCATACCCCCACGTCAGTGGAAGTGTGCTTGAAGTATGATTACCATGGACAAGTGACAAGTCCGGTCAAACAATGGCCCCGACACCGGTTATTGTTACCGCAATCAAAATATACAATTTCCAAGGGATGCACACTGCTGCCCAACGCCCTTTCTCAGTTGGCTCCAAACTCTCAAGTCCTCAGCTTAGTTTTTGCTTTCTTTCGAGCCAATGAATGGATCCGGAAGCACTCCTGTATTCATCCACCACTGAACCTATGGGACCTATGGATCCATGGGCAGATGGGCGCATCCAGAGCCTACAGTAGCCTGGGGAAGATCCCAAAGGGGTCCATGATTGAAGTGAGCGGATCGCCCTTGCTCGCCGCCACATCTTTTTGTGCAGAGAATCCTTTTTGAGAGGCAGCGATCCCTACTTTTCAGAAGCACCCCGCATTGCCCGCGAAGAACATCTTTGAAAAAAGGAACAAAGCAATGTGTTTGGCCCCTTCTTTTGACACATCCCTCATCTGTGGGCACGTGTACCCGTTTAAAGGCTGGTTTAAAGGGAAAAGGGACAGGAACATACCTCCATGCTCCTCGACCCAAGTCTTCGGGTACACCGAACATCATATTTTCACATTCTGCTTCATATGTAGATTCCCAAACATATTCAACTAATTTTGGAGGCCACATGGAGATAAATCCACCGGAAAGCCGCACCGTTCTCGAGTGTTCAACCAACTTAGGAATGTCCATAGCTATGAAGCAGCTTAGACATTAAGTAGCTTATAGCCTTGTATTTGTTGTGAGAGGGGTGACAGTGACAGGGGTCGGCCCGCTTATAACCATGGCTATCCGCTAAGTAGGTTGACACCCAAGTTTTCGGGCCCCAAGGAATAAAGCAGGTCCATCCACAGACCAACGTGGTGTAGATTTTAGATTTCGGTATAAACCAAACAGAGCTGATAATGATGATAAACTCTGCTGACATGTTCAAACAAACAGTATTTGCCTGTGTCCGTATTTGATTGATATAGTTGATACAGTCAATAATACCGATAACGTCAAACTGATTGACGTGATCAAACTGATTGATATGATCGATGAGTAAAGCAAACTAAACAACAACATGCGTTTCTCGGTCGTCCGAAACGTATTTTACAGTGTGGTGTTTATATATACATATATATATATGCATACACCACATAAACCACATTTATTTGGTATGAGTCAACTTAAACCACCACACAAACCGCTGGTTGTATTGCCATTTACCAGATGTTGGGGTTGCACTATGTTTGACATCCACCCCCAGAAAAAAGAGAAACACAAAACAACATGTTGGCGAAAGATGTTTTGTTCAAATATGTATTTACCACACATATACATATACACATACACGTACATGTTGCCATTCACCAAATGTTGGGGTGACCCTATGTTTGACATCCACCAACCGGGCAACACAAAAAACAAACAAGTTGGCGAAATCTGTTTTGTTCAAATCTGTAATTACCACATCATATGTACAGATACATATACATACATACATATGCATACATATACATATCAAATGCATATCAATATATATATATACATACATATGCACGTACATGTTGCTGGACGGAGGGGTAGCAAGACAAAGGCCCTTCAACGGCCCTTCAACGGCCCCTCGGGGCTTCGGGGCTTCGGCGGCCCGGGCGCTGCTCCAGGGCCGCGTCCATCACCGGCAGCCCTTCAAGGCCCGGGATGCGCGAGAGCAGCGAGGGGTCCGCCAGCACGAGCGGGGAGTTCCCCGCCTCGCGGAGGAAGCTGCACCAGCTGAAGCCTCGATTCTTTTTTTGTCGGGTTTGTGGGTTGGAAGTCGCTTTGAAGGGGCTTGGAAGTCGGCCTCGAAAAAATGCTTGGGGTTTAAACTCACTTTTCCGGATTGGACGTGACAGTGACTTGGCTGCCTGAAATCCATGGGATTTAGTCTTTGTTCTTTGCTTGGGATGGTTTGGTGGAAGTTGCAAGTTGATTGCTTCCCATGGGCGTGGGGTGTGTGTTTGGTTTCCTTCTTAAACCATCCAACGGGGATGCACGAGCCCTAGGCGTTCATTCTAGGGGGTCTTTGTTGGGACAAGAGAAAGGGGGATATGTCTAGAGGCGATGGATCTTGGAATCTTGGAACTTTGTACGGGTTGAGTCAGGCTAACATTCCCTGAACCCGCAACTTGGTGTTTTTTGGTTTCAGATTTGAGCCTGCCAAAAGGGCTGTGGCTGTTTGGTTGAGTTGGAACTTGGAACTTCCCAGGGGTTGAAAAACCAACATGAAGAGAGCTTCAGGGGAGGCGGTTTGCCCACGAATGTGGGGGGGGAGGGCGACTCCTTTCCATGCTGTTCTCCCTATCTTGGTGGGTGTCTAGAAAGAAGGACCCGTAGAATGGGGAACTGTTTGCACTAGATTGATTGTCTAAGGATCCAACAGGACACCCTGGAAATTGAACCCTAACTAGATCAACCCCCGCCCAAAAGGTATATCTTCTTGAGTGCTTTCCGCTTATTTTCCTGTGGCTTGTTTGGCTTCTTTGCTTGGCATGTGTTTTCTTCCGTGAGTGCCTTTTTGCGCTGCTTTGCGTGTCTGTCTGTGTGGGTGTGCCTTCTTTCAGGTATCTGGCTGCTTGCTTTGTGCTGAAGTACACGAAGCAACCACCCACCGGGCACGCTGACTTGCCTTAAGGCCTTGGCTGTCAAGACATGTGTCCACTGAACATAGAAAACGAAGGGGGCCATAATCAAAGAACCGTGGTTTGGTCAGTGGTTTGATGTTCGGAACAACCGAGTATAGCATTGTAGCTACTGGCGCCATCTCTTTGCACCGTCAAATTCTACCGCACTGCGATTCGTTTCTGCGCAATCTCTCAGCACGAGCTCTCCCGTGGCTGCGTGCGCCCCTCTCTCTCTCTCTATCTCTCTCTCGCTCTCTCTCTCTCTCTCTCTCTCTCTCTCTCTCTCTCTCTCGCTCGCTCTCTATTCCTTTGTTTCTTTGTTTCTTTCTGTTTTTCTTCTTTACTTTTTTGTTGTATTGTTCCCGAAAGCATTGCGAAGGGCTCTTCCGTGCGGAGCTCTTGGTCAACTTGCGCATAGTAGCTTGCATAGCTTGCGCAGAGTCAGCAGCATGGACATACCAGCATGGAGATACTCGCGCAGAGTTACTAGCACAGAGTAGCTTGCGCAGAGTTACCAGCATGGAGATGCTTGCGCAGAGTCACCAGCATGGAGATACCAGCATGGAGATACTTGCACAGAGTCACCAGCATGGAGTCACCAGCATAGAGTTACTTGCGCAGAGCCAAGTGCAAAGAGCCAAGCGCATAGAGCCAAGTGCTCAGAGCGAAGTGCAAAGAGCGAGGTGCAAGGAGCCAAGTGCACAGAGCTACGTGCACAGAGCCAAGTGCAAAGAGCGAAATGCGTCGAGCCAGGTGCGTAGAGCCAAGTGCATAGAGCTAGTAGAGGCTCGGCGTTAGCAGCTGTGTAAGCTAGGTTTTAAGTAAGTTGTATAGGTGAAGTACTCAACGCGCGGGAAAGAAAGAGAAAGAGCTCGGTATTAAGAATCTCTTTCTTGGAGGGGGGTGGGGATGTTGCCGGCGATCGGGAATGCGACCCTCTGCGGGGATCGGCGTGGTTGGGGCGCAAAAACTCGAGTTTTTTTTTAGCGTTTTTGTCGGTGCGCGCGACCCTCTACAGGGATCGGCGTGGTCAAGGTGCAAAAACTCGAGGTTTTTTGCGTTGTTGCGGCGCCCTGTTGAACCCTGCGGGGATCGGCGTGGTCGAAGGTTTTTTGCGTTTTTGCGGTGCCCGGATGAACCCTCTGCGGGGATCGGCGTGGTCGAGGGCGAAAACTCGAGGTTTTTGCGTTTTTGACATTCCCGGATGAACCCTCTGCGGAGATCGTGCGTGTCGAAGCGCTCTCGCTGTGGCGCCGTGCGAATTCTTCTAAGTCTCGGCGAACCCTCTCCGGAGATCATGCGTGTCGAAGCGCTCTCGCTGTGGCGCCCTGCGATTTTGTTGCTCGCGAAATGGCCTTTGGAAGTTGTCTCGTGGTTTGCGCGCCCCGCGGCAGCTCCGGCTTGAAAATCGCAGCTTTTGAGTACAAACGTAGTACGCGGCGCGCTCCTGCAGCTCCGGCTGGAAAATCGCAACTTTTAAGTACAGACGTAGTATGCGGAGCGTGCTCCCGCATCTCCGGCTGGAAAATCGCAACTTTTAAGTACAGACGTAGTATGCGGAGCGTGCTCCCGCAGCTCCGGCTGGAAAATCGCAACTTTTAAGTACAAACGTAGTACGCGGAGCACACTCCCGCAGCTCCGGCTGGAAAATCGCGACTTTTAAGTACAAAAATAGTACGCGAAGTACATTCCCACAGCTCCGGCAGCACTTGCGCAGAGCAACTTGCGCAGAGTCACTTGGGCAGAGCAACTTGCGCAGAGCAACTTGCACAAAGCACTTGCACAAAGCACTTGCGCAGAGCAACTTGCACAGACCAACTTGCACAGAGCACATGCGCAAAGCGCTTGCACGGAACTTGCGCAGAGCAACTTGCACAGAGCACTTGCGTGCAGCAGCTTGCAGAGAGCAACTTGTGCGCAGCAGCCTGGAACAATGCAGCTTGCGCAGACGTGAGAAATCGCGCGGCGCAGTTCGCGCAATGAACATTGCGCCGAGCAGACTCGTGCAGAGCCAGCTTGCACAGAGCCAGTTGCGCAGAGCCACTCGCGAAAAGAAGCTTGCATAGAGCCAACTTTCACAAAGCCAGGCTGCGCAGAGCCATCTTGCACAGAGCTAAGTTGCGCGAGCGTGCTTTGCAGAAACTGTGGCCGTCGTGTAAGCTTTGCTATTGATTGCTTTTTCTTTTGTAATTCGTTTCGAGCTTTACGAGCTTTATTCTTCTTGTTTTAACGGATGTAAATATGTGGGATCGAGCACTGCCATGTTTCCTCTCGTAGGACGATGAGATGGAGCTCTCATGCGACCATACACATTGAGCATCGCCGCGTGCAGACCGCAGCGATGTAAAAAGGTGTCTCCGCGGCTGGATGAGCACCTGGGGAAAAATGCTGTCGGGCCAATCGTCCTCTCGTTTACCTTGTAGATTTGTTTATTTTCTATCTATTCAACTATTCATTTACTAGAATATGTCTTAATAGTTTGTTTCTTTCATTATTTCATTCATTAGTCCTTGTTTCTATACTGTTTTCCTCTATTTGTTTATTTTCTTTCTTTCTGTCTTTGCTTCTTTCTTTCTTTCTTTCTTTTCTTTCTTTCTTTCTTTCTCTCTCTCTCTCTCTTTCTTTCTTTCTTTCTCTCTCTCTCTCTCTTTCTTTCTTTCTTTCTTCCTTTTTTTCTTTCTTTCTTTCTCTCTTTGTTTTTGTTGGATGTTTGTATATTTGCTTTGATTCCTTTCCCTTCTCTTTTCTTTCCAACAAATCGAAAATCAAAGGCTGGCGCAAATGGAAAGCGCTGGTGTCTTCCATTTGTTGCCCGTCCTACCCACGCAGAATGGGCAAGTGCCAAAAACGCAGTCCACTCATGCCTACCTCTCAAACCAGGGCTAGGACAGTGTTGATTTGGAGAAGTGAGTCTCGTTTCTTTTGTTTCTCTCTCTCTCTCTCTCTCTCTCTCTCTCCGCCGCTACCTCTCCGCAGCTCTTCTGGGTAATCTCTATTCGATTGCTCGAAAACATGTCTGCGATGGGGTTTCAAGGTTGGCCAATGGAATTGGGACGGTGTATCTTCTTTGCGCGGTTGGATTCCTCAGGCGAACCTCGAACTGTACTTTGCGCGAACAAGCTGGCACCGTGATCCATCAAACATGCATTTAATGGATTGTCGCTTCGGAGATGGTCTCAGATCTACGTTCCTTCCAGCAGTCAGTCTGCCCCCTACACACTGGCGTGCATGTATTTGCGGTGGCATGCGTTTGAGACTGTCAATGACGCAGCCAAGGGGCAGTTGGTGAGCTGGGTGCGTTCCAGGTCAAACTCGCAGCTGGCGGTGAAAAACCCTGGCGCGAACGGTCTGAGCACAACGTCTCTGAACCCCAGGTGAAGGTGTCTGGCTTTCATTGGGATGGTCCTGGCTTGACAACCAATCCGTGGCCCAGTGGTTGCCCAGAGATCTCAAAGGCGCAGCGCGTAGCATAAGGGTCATTGCAGAGGTTGAGCCAAACGAACAAAATTATCAACAGATAGATGGGTGTGTCTGTTTTCGTGCTTTTCCTGTTCGTTTCCCCTCAAATCCACGCCCCAACACGGGGGTACCCTCAAAAAGTTGTGACACGCCGAAATGGCAACGAGCCGACCTGTTGGTGTCTTTTTGGCCAAAGGCGCCTGGCAACTCCTCGAAGGTGGAGTTCTCTGAGTCGCTTCCTGCGATTTTTGCCGAAGGCAAACCGGCCGAAGGTGAATTAACTTGCTGGTGCCCGGCAAGGAATGAGAGTGTGACCCTTATAAACCATCCCTTGTGGTTTCCTTTAAGGGAATCCCTGGGTTCATTCCCCAAAGTTAAATGTGACAACTACTTAATGTGACAACTATCCACATGCATGGTTTTGCCGCAACAAACAGGAAACACCTACTTTGCCAACTCCGGACACCTATTCAAGGGGCACGGTAGTCTGTAAGCGGCGAGTAAGCCTGGATAGAACCCACGGAAAGGAGACTTATATCCGTGGCTTTTGTGGGTTGTAACGATGGCTATTACCCACGTACTAAGTACCCTGCCCCTTCAATAATTAAAAAAAAAAACGGTTTGGATGCGCTTTTTGCGGATTCACCTGTTCTTCCTCCTGTTGGTCCTTGTTTGCAATCTTTCAGGTACTCTTTCAATATTCTACAGGGGTGGATCCACAAAAACCACATGTAAACCGTTTTCTGGGATATAATGCGACATCAGAATTCTCCGACGGGCCATATTTACCCCGCAGAGACTTGGCGCCAAGGCGACGGGTATCGCCCTCCTCGCATGGAGCGCATGGTGGGCTCGTGCCAAAAGGAGCAGGCGGTGTAGCAGGTCTCCACGGTCTCCGAGCGCTGCCTGCGGAAGCCTGGGGCTCCAGCTTACATTGGTGACCCTCGATCCCCGCAACATGTGGAGAACCCATACGGATGCCCTAGTGCAAGTCTGGAAACAAGGAACCTGGTGTACAGTCCTGGAGCTTGGCTTTCACAGAACTCCGCGAGCAAAGCCATTGGTGTCTCAAAATAGAAGACCCTCCAAATTGGTTTTCATTTGGCCATGGGTCGAAATCCAAATCGTACCCCCAGTGAACATCCGATTCAATCCAACCACTAAAATAGGTCCCAACATGGGTGGTGAATTCACCTACCAGCCAAAATGATACAATTGGTTTCGACCCACAGCCACAGCGGAGCCAGCAGCCCTATTATTCATGCGAAGGGGGGTGTTGTCCCTGGTTTTAGTTGAAACTCAGCACTGTTTCAAACACCCCGCCCCTATTTGCAGGATGGGCTTGCTAATCCGGGGTCAACATTACTCCGCTGCACATTGACGGAAGAAAGCAAAGTTCATCCCCAAAGATCAGATAACTCCAAACAATGGATGGTTTTCTGGCTTCATGTTAGTTGCACGGGAGTAAGTGGGTGCACCGTGGTTGCAAGTGGAAAGACGATGCAAAACTTGTTAAGTAGAATCAGCATCTAAGTGGCGAGGCGTTTTCGCCTGGATGCTGCTAGTTGGACAAATGCGATGCGAGGGGGTCATAGCAAGCCGCGTTCACATCAGGCTAACGTGGGCGACGGATTAATAATGGTCCCCCCAAAGCAAATTTGAGGGGACCTAATAGGGAAAACAAATAAAATAATTCAGGAGTGTGATTTTCCCCCTCAAGTAGTCTCTTAGTTTAGAATTGGTTTAGTATTGCGAAGTGCTGACTTTGTACTGGTTCTGTACGGGTTTGGTGCTGGTTTAGTATTGAGTTAGTATTGCATGCTGCTGCCTTCGTGCCGGTTAGTTTGGTTTCGCCCCTCTGATGATTTTTGGGGGCATCCTATTTTTGTTGCTTTTCACAGCAGCCTTACTTGGGTAATATCCTTTTCAATGGACCCACTGTCGTGTGCTAGTGGGAGGGAGGGTGTTTGTTTGCTTTACCAAAAGTAAGCCTCCCATAAAATATTGGTTGCCATAATTCTAACAAAGGGGTTCGAACATGCTACACACCTGATTGTCCTTTGGTGCAAGCTGGAAACCGTTTAGGGTCCGAAATAGACCCACTAACATAAAAACCATCACAGGTCGCCGTCCGGAGGAGTTTTGGATTCTTCTGGGGCCTGATTGGCGATTTGGATCGGCCTAAAGAACAAGGCCCGGATAAGTTCTCGGCCCGGGTTTTCCTTAAAAAACCTTCCACCCAAACTGGCAAAAAGCTTCTTCACGTCTACCCACCAAAAGCGGGGCTCAAACCTCGCCCTCCCCGCTGACGGCCGACCGAACGGCGCCTGGTGGGGCAGTGGATGCGCGGCCGTCGCAGGGCCCAGGAGCTGGGCTGGGCTTGAGGCCGAAGAGCGAGGAGGTCCATGAGCCGAACATATCCTCGGATCCGATCAGTTTCCCCATAGGTATGGAGCCCGGTGGGTCAGTTTTCTTTTTTTGTGCAAGCACCCCGTGTTTGTACAAGATCCTTGGTTGCAGTAACGACCCCTCTGCAACAAGTGAAGAACTGTTTGCAGGTCCAATTCGGAAATCCAAATGATTTCCACCAAAAAGCACAGAAAATCTAGACGGCTGTGAGCTTCCCAATTGGTGGTTTGAAGCCCCGTGGTTTAGTGGTTCGGGGTGCAAGCACCCATGTATATACAAGAACCAGCGGCTCAAATTCCCCAAACCACCAATCCAAACCACCAAATGAGGGGTCCGTGGTGGCAAGTAGAAATGTCGAGTTTCTTCTCATAAATATTGACTGTCTCTTTTTATAGCGTGTGCTGTCCGCCTTTTTCATTCAGCCCAAGTGGTCAGTGCCTTTCTCGCCTTCGTATCCTGCAAACTGGGCAAACTCGGGGAAAACCGGCTGAGCGATTCAATGGGACCCTTTGGTGGACAGCACTTACATGGGGATTTATGTCCAGCCCATTTCAAGAGATTCCTTGGTCAATCATGGTTTTGTCTCAAACCAGGGGCCCCCTTTCAAAAATTGGGGGGGGGGGGGGGGGGGGTTGTCCTTTTTGTTCCCCTCTAAAACCGCCGCCAAACAAGGGTACCATCAACAAAAACACACACACACACACAAAAAAAAAAACATGTCAAAAAGGTTCGCTTGGCGCAGCCAAGCGTCTACCTGCTCAGTGGCCTTCTTGCTCCGCAAACCGTCCCAGTCACCGGAGATCACCTGAGTAAACTTGTCTACTCAAATCCATGTAAATAACTTGGCTCGAAGTAGGACCCCAGCCAAAAAAAACTATTTTTCTTGCCTGTTGAGTGGAGAACAAAGGGGGGCCCAACAAAGCCAATCAAACAGGGAGCTAATTCTGGGGAAATTAAAAGGCGGCCGCACTGCCCCTCACTAACCTGCATCTACCCGGGTTTTGATTGTGGCTCAACTAAGGGCTGGGCGAGTCAACCCCACATTGACACATGGGGATGTCTTAGCCGCATTTGGCAGGCCACCGGGGGTTCTTCAAAACAGTTTTGCCCACCTACAATAGTGCGAATGGTCCTCACCTTTGCCCCGCTTCATGCAATTTGTTCAATTGTTTTTGTTGCTTGAAGGGAAGCCACAAGGAAACAACCTGGTTTGACGCATCGGTTTGTCCCACGCCAGAAGCGCTTCTCCTTGGTGTCTCTGCAAAACAACCCCAAACAGGGTACCTTCAAGAAAAAAAAAAAAAACACATGCGGCTCTGATTTGCCACAGTACCAAACGTCTGACTCTGCGCACAAAAACAACAAAGACCTCTCAGGCTAAATGGTCGACTCAGCTACTGGTGTGGCTGCCCAACTTGTCCCCGGTCGAGACTTGTAGTTCTGCCAAAAGTCCTGCGAACATCAGCTGCAAGCATCTGTCCCATGTCGAAAATGCTTCCTCAAGCCGACATGAGACAATTGGGTGGGCTGTTTAACTTTTGTGAGACACCATGTCCTCCCCAAACTAAAAATCAGCTACCATTAATTTTGTCACTCAATCTGCATGGTTGCTGCGCCGCCTGCCTGGTGATGGTTCGAAGAAACCAGGTTGGCCCAACCACCTCCTTTGGTTGTCCCTGAAATATCACAACCAGGGTCTGCCTTCCCACCAACTAACATGAAAGTGCGCAGACTCCTGACGAAAGACTACTTTCTTCTTGGAAAGGGCCTTTGTGCACAAACCCATGTCAGCTGCTAGGGTAGTTGCTTAAATTCTTTAAACAGCCCCCCCCAAAAAAAACAAACAAACAAAAGACAAGTAGTTGTTTAAAAAGGCCCCCACAAAAAAAGAAAAAGGAAAGAACAAACAGATCCCCGTCTGCAGATCATTGCCATCAAGTCCTCCACATGAAACTCCCGGGCCGCCGTGTCTGAGAAGTGGGCGAAGTCCCTTGAAGCGCGGCGATAAGACTGCCGCAGCGCCTGCCACAGATCTCACGGGGTTTTGTCGACACGGTTGAAACGATGCAGCGTGACGCTTTCCTCTTAAAACAGCCCCAAGAAGCTGCAACCGTACCCTTGCGCCGTGGTTTTGAGGAACACCCACCCATATTTGGGGGCTCCCTCCAAGTTGATGAATCCCCGATTAAAGCCCAGAATGCGGCTTGAAGTGTCTCTTTGGTTCCAGAACAAGCAACCCAGAAAGGATAGCTCAAAATCAATGCCAGGAGGCTGGTGGTTCTCCCAAGTTAGCCCAAATATTCCCATATTTCAGATGAGAGCAGCGAACATCACTGCCATGCTGAGCAACGCTTGCCTTCGCTTCTGCTTGCAAGCCACCAAAGGCCCGATTCGCCAGGATGATCTTCCGGCACACGCGCTGAAATCCTCAGGTCCGGAACTTCCAGCATTTAAATTCACCCCTCAAAACAACACGACCCAGTTACCCCTCAAAATGGCACAGCCCATGGATTTCGAAACAAACAACCCCAGCTCTGCCGCTGCCGCGAACCCAAAAACACAGCCAAGAATCGTGCATTCAACGACTCACAGGGCGTCGTGCCCTTGGCCTTCTTGGATCCTGTCCAGACCTCAACGAAGCTGAGGTGCAACTCGTCCTGTACCTCGGCGGTTTAGGCTTCACTGTATAGCAACTCCCACAAAGGGTATCCGCGCAAACACGACATGCCCAAACTGGCATTCCACAACGGAGATGTTCCAATCATGCACATGCTCAAACCTGAAGGTCAACTTAATGGGTGATCACTCTAACCCGGAATGGATTCAGAGGGGTGCATTTGCTCGGGGGTTCTATCTGATTAATCATTGGCTCAGCTTTCATTCAGCAACTCCCGTAGGCTGAAAGAGCCCCGGGTCAGTCGCCAAGGGCCCTTTTCCCCAAACATCCTGGTGCAATCCGAGGTCAAATTAGCTCTCCCAAAAAAAGTGGTGTCTCAAGAGTTGGGGCGCTTTTGGGTGGGGGAAGCCAACATCACCATGCGTGTCCCCAATTTCGGGGGGGGGGGAAGGGGGGACCCTTTTCTGGGTGTTGTGTGGGAATTCGAATGAAAAGAAACTCCCCAAATCAAGACAAACCTTGGCAACGCCGGCGAGGTGCTCGGCGTCTTTTATGGATCCCATGTTCCCTTCCCCTTTTCGGCCGCTGATTTGAGACGGACACATGGCATCCCCTGGTTTCCTCCTCTCAGTTTGCACATCAACTCCCACTTGTCGAAGCCTCGCTTTAGGGCAACCCGACGACACATGGGAACCTGGGAACCCTCAAAAGCCAACGAGGGTCAGGTTTCCGCGGACATCGTGTCCATCGGTTCCAGGACTATGGCTGAGATGCAAATACACTCCAAGAGCTGCTCCGCACCGTCCTTGCCTAACGCGCAACTTCGTGTGTTGAAACCTGTGGCTTCTCTATTCTACCCTCTCCGGAGGACATTCTTTCCTGCAAAAAACGGGCACTCCCTTGTTGGACGTTCAAAAAGGAAGCCAACATACTCTTCTTACACGTCTCCTCCTTAAGATTATGTTGATGTCCTTGGTAAACACAATATGCGCTTCCCCCAGTTGTCACTTATTACATCTTTCGCCCTGTGAGGGCATGCAACGTATGCTTTAGCTGAGGCTATCCAAACTCTCTCTTGTCTTTTGGATTCAGTTACCACACTCTGGGCTGTCATATTGTAGTCCAAATGGACGTTTTTCTTTAAAACAAATAAAAATAAAATCTGATGGAAGTCACTGTTTAAAGGGCTCATGTTTGGGTGTTCAAAGCGGGTCCGGGACAGCTATTTTCTTTCGGGAAGTTGAACGTGTACGGGCTGTATTGCACCCCAAATGAACGGGCATTTCTTTCAAGCAGCCACGTGCACATCGACAAACAAGGTTCCTGCGAAGCTGGACAATGCTGATTGGGGAAACTTGAAATGGGCACCTCTCTGCAACAAAACACATGCTTGTTAGAATTATTGAAACCACCCCAAATGGGGTAGCAACTCCAACACAAATACGACACGCGCATTTATTTTTCAAACCCTTCGCGCCTGTCCCCGCATTGCTTGCCGTGCCGTCTCGCGCAGCCGTGCGGCTGTGATGCCTGAAGCACGCCATAGATCAGGCCTTTCTCTGCATCTATGATTGGGGGAGGTGCAGCACGCGACAATTCCACTTCCTTCAAGCCTTTGACGTATGTGCAATCGTTGAAAAAAACAACAACAACATGGTAACCCCTTGATAGAGCTGTCTTGATTTGAAAAAACGTCTTGAAATAAAATAGCTGGCTCTGGACTATGCAGCAAGCCTATTGGAATCTCGCAAGGCAAACTAAGTCTTGGGCTTTCTTCTTCATCGCCATCCTCAGTGTCCAATGGTATGCAAGCCTGCCACATCTATTGGTGTGTGTGTGTGTCTGTTTGTTTTTGAGGGCGCCGTTGTCACCTTTGTTCCAAGAGAAACCAACATAGGAACCCATTTAACATATGTGTACCCATCGGATGCGCGCCAAACTCGTGACATTCGCCGCGTTGACCATCCAACGTTGGATGCCAAGCCTCGATACTCACTTCCCTGTCAGCCAGCAGTTGCGAGCCGTCTGGATGTTCCGGATGCGGTTCCCCGAAATCCACCGGCAGCGTGAAAGTTTTCGAACTCACCAATCTTTTCCTGAGTATGGTCGGGTGATTGGGTATTCAAACATCTTGTGGCACCCCAAATGCTCGTATGCCGTCAATCCACCGCGAGTTGCAGCCGCCCGACAAAAATACTCTTGCGAAACATGCGCTTCTTCCAAGAATGTGCAGAATCTCTAAGCCGAACAAGAAACAACTCGTCCAAGATAGCCATGGTTGGTACCCTTTCTCACGTTTCAAAGGAAAACCAAGGAGAAATCATCCACTCACTTCCTAAGTCGACTGGCCAAACTTCCCCAAATAGGTTCTAAAATGGGTGGTGCACCGAAAACCCCCAAAATGGGATCCCAAAACGGTTGACAACCACAGCCATATCCATACGACAAAGTCTGGCAGAGATGCTTCGGCTGCATGGAGCTGCACCAGAAAGCATATCCCAAGCCTCCATGGAAGACAGGGGAGGCGCGGGGCTTGTTTGATGCCGCTAGTCCAATGTCTCGCTTAGGCCTTCCACTCTGGCAGACTGTTTTTTGCTCACAAACTCACTCTGGGTGGATGTTGCACGTCCCTGCCATGGATTTGAGCCTAAAAGCTGGAAAGTGGCCTGTACTTCACCCGCGCACCACAAAGTCAGTTTGCCACTGGGCCATTCACTCACAATGTGTTTCTTTTGGAAAAGGTAGATTTTGCACTTCCATGTGGGATGGTATGAAGAGATGTGCCGTACAAATTTGGGTCACGTCACGTCACGTCCGCGACACTGCTCAGGCACATTTTAAACGTGCATCTGGCTGCCAATGCACACCTGTGATCACCCTCATACCCAGTTTGCCGAGAAACATCATACAGTGAAGCAGCTGGGACAGTCACATCGTCGGGCAAGAAGTTGGGAGGCCAGGCAGTCTTTTGGTGAGCTGGCAGTTGGTGGATCACTTTCGTAGAACTTGTTCGTGTTGCTGATGTCTTCCTCTTCGCAAATCCCCAGCAACGCGATGCTGGCAAAGCATGCCCGCCACGTGTTCATCCTCTTTGCGCTGACTTCTTGCGCTCTGCTGGAATTGCAAGAACTTGTTTCGGGCAGTGCCCCTCAAAAGGCGTCTTGTTGAATCCTTCCATGTTCTGCCCTTCAGGCCCTCGAAGCCTTTTCTTCGGATGCACCTTGTGGTGAGGCGCGGACATCCAGCGGTCTGGGATGTGCTTCACGTCCATTCCGCATCCGCGAGCTCTGAGCCATCTCCGGCCATCGGTGCATTCGAGTCCATCTCTGCGGAGGAGTTCTTGGCCATGTTCGCATTTTCTCTGGAGGTCAGTCTCCTGGCAGCGACTCCCACTCAGAAACATCTCATACTGTGGATGGACGAAATCCATTTCGCACCACCTAAGAAACCATGGTTGAAACCATATTTTTCTTGTATTTACAGGGACATCATCATTCAAGGGTTTCTTAGATGGTGCAGGATTTCGTCCATCCATAGTAGTTCAACCCAGGCCTTTTTCTTTGCCAGGCTTCGCAGGTGGGCGTCGGAGCTTCTGCATTGCCTGACAAACAAACCCTGCGTTGGAGTTCAACAGGCGGATCCATTCGAACACATGGCTATGGGTCAAAACCCCGTACCCCCAGCGAACATCCCAATCCCCACTAAAATAGGTTCTAAAATGGGTGGTGCACCGAAAACCCCCAAACTGGTACCATTGGTGTTGACCCACGGCCACATTACTTCTAACAGTGGAACATGCGGACATCGTGTTCATCGCGCTTCCTATACCTTAAGAGCTCTGAAGCCTGCAGCTCAAAACATGGTTGCCATCCTGCCGTGATCTGCGCCCGAGTTGAGAAATCGGCCGCGCAGCATTGTCACTCTGCCATGCTCATCTAACATGAGTGAGTCTGTTTGTGGGCACAACACATCACAACCAGCTTACGCAGTTGCTGCACACCACCGAGCTATGATTTCCGATTCTTGCCCAAACCTTGTCCTTCGGTGATTACTACATTCGATCCTGCCATGACATTTAGGTTGACGATGAATCAACCACATTACAGTCAGATGTAAGCATCCAAGTGTCTAACCACGCACAAAGCAAAAACTCAACCAAGTTCGATCCATCCCAAAGCAACCATCCCACAAGCTCTCAGCCTTGGTCTCTTCCAGTGGCAAGTGCCAGTCTACCGCACCAAGTTCATCACCGCTGTCGCCTCTGCTGTGAGCTCGGGGGTCCAAACAACTCACAAAGTCAACATGCCAACAATGCCAAGTACTTTCCTGCAAAAAATGAACAAATCCGGAACCCAAAAACCGGGGGGACCTAACAAACCAAAGACACAAGCACCAATACTCTTGGGCGTACTCGTGCGGCTTCGCGCATGATTCAGCTCGCCGGAGAATCGCGAGCCAACGAACATCCACGCCTGGGAGCTCCACATCAGGCCTCGGACGTCAGTGCGTGATTTTCCAAATCTCTAGGGCGACCTTCCCAGGTGAGTTGCCCAGGTCTTGAAACAATGCCGCGTCCGACGTCTGGTTCTTGATCTTGTGCCCCAACACCACACCAGGGATCCTTCTTTTCAGGAAACAATCAAAAACCCAGGGAACAGATCCGGTTTTTGAAAAGAACGATGGTTGAAAAGAATGGACAAGGAATCAACCCCTAGAAAATCGATATTGATTGCGAAGGCTTCGTTCGCGGGCGAACGAAGCCTTCGAGTCCTGAGGCCCCTGCAGTGGCCCAAGCCTGGCGATGAGGCGCCCAATGGAAGCCCCGAAGTGAAGCCAAAAGCCAAGCGCGTGGTTTCACCCAAGGTAGAAATGTGTGTTCCTGGGAGGAGTGCCAAAAGAAACCCAACCAAAATACCAAGGTTTGGTCATCTTTGAAAGGCTCAAGCAGCAACCCTGCGTAGAATCGCACAAACACTCAACATGAGGCAACATGTGCTCTGTGCCACTTTGCCTTCGCCGAAGCTCCAAAAGCTCTTCGCATGTCTCATTGTGTTCTAAGCCGTTCCTTGGGCAAGTCATTGGTGCGGCAGTGCCTTTCTGCACTAAGCTGTTTGTTTCACAAAAACCGAATTCCTTTGACCTTCTTCGCACTCGAATACACGTGACTGCAATCGGCAAACGTAATCATAGGTGTGTTGTTCTTTGGGGACCCCCAAAATGGCAATTGTCCTTTCTCGGTTTCGATTTAAAGCCAACCAAAAAGGGTACTCTCCAAACAAAACACACCCACATTGACTTGCAATAGCTGATCTGTCTAAATTGAAACCCGGTTCCCAGTAAATTAATTTCCCCATGTTTACTTGAGTCACAATCAAAACCCGGTATTAACATGGTCCACCCAGAACCATGTAAAGAATTGAGAGGGCGGCCGCAACTATTTCTGGCTGGGACTGCCCCTTACTAGCCTTCATCTACCTGGGTTTTGATTGTGGACAACTCGGTGAGGCAAACCGCAGCCTTAGCTTCCATTTTTTTCATAAGGCATCGGCTCTGCAAAGGCTATCGCCACGTCGCGCATGCCGGCCTGCACGATGGACACAAACGTGCAAGTGGAACACCAAGCGTCACACCTTGAGTTGCAACTGAATCCAGTTGCTTGCATTTATGCGCAGGGACAAATTAGGATACCATCCCGGATGGACAAATGAGACAAGTGACTAGCATCACGTTTTTGCCACAACGTGCCCTGAGTCTCTCTGTGCAATCTCCTCCAAAGCACAGGTTGCCCCTCGCCAAGAGGACCTG